GGGAACAGATTATTTGACCTTTCTAAGGGATAGGAATTCATGGATAGGAAATGGATCACATTTCCCAATATTATTATCAGCTTACATTTCTATACTTTCTGTGGCTGAAGCTCTCTGGGTCATTCACAACATTTAAGTCACCCATCCAGATTTCAACCAGGCCTACCACTGTTTAACTTTCAAAATTAGGCAGGATCAGATACTTCAGGCTGTATGGTAGCTATTTTAAAGGTATCCGCATTGGTTCTTTGGTTGAGTGATGACTTGGCAATCAAGCAATGCACGTGTTTTGATAGATAGGAACAACTCCACATAAACAAATACTCTGGGACTGTCCAGGGAATATTGTCAATTCCAGCAGCTCTCCATGCTGTTGCTTCTGACACAAAACATATTTCTGATCTCATAATCTCTTCTACTGCAAATAATGGACTTTCTTCTTGGACATAGTGAGAAAAACTCTCTAATATGACTGTTATCACCATCATATTTCAGTACACATAAAACAGAAATAAAAAGAAACAAAATGTGTGCATAGTGCAAAGGAAAAAAAATGTTGCTCACCACATTCAGTAGGTTGTTTCCAGTCATCCTCATAGGTGGATGTATGTTCTCCTTCCCTGACTTGCCCTTAAAAGCCCATTCCAGTAAATTCATGATAGCCAATCAGCAACTTTATGTACAATATCATCAGTTTTGGAATATCATTTCATAATATATGGCATGAGCAATCCTGGTTGTCAATAGCATGTGAAAAAGTAATAACTCCCTATTGTTAACAACCTTCTTTTTTAGTGTAGCTAATAAAAAGATGTATTAGTTTTATTCTCAAAATGTATTGTTCACTCAATTTGTCACTAAACTTTCTTAAACTTTCTACAGTTCTGCCAACAATGATAAAAAATCTATTTAAATCTTGCACATTTATGTTAAATATCCCAAATATCCCCAAAATATCTTAAAGAATTTCACTTGAGTTACTGAACTATCATTTTACCACAATTCTCCCTTAAAGCTGAGCCTATTGCTTATTCTTTATCAATATGAGTCAACATACAACGCCATGATTCCAAAAGAAAATCTGTCACAAGATTCAGAATTACTTATGGAACTTTGACAAAGCAATCTTGCCCATGTCTTCTCAGAAATAAGTCCCCTCATGTTGCATGAGATTTACTTCCAGGTAAGCGTGTTTAGGACTACAATTTAAGTAAATATTCTTCCACCTGACAGACCTATCCATGGATATTTCAGAGTTTTATTTATTATTGCTTTTTTATCCAATGGAATTTCCAAAATAAGGATAACCAAAAATTCAGTAAAATGTAATTTTAGAAACAGGTTTCACAGGATTGCACAGTTACTGAGAAAAAGTAGTTATTAAGTTAATGAATTTGAAAGGCAAAAGATTTAAGCAATTACTCTTTAAGTCCTTGTGCAGACAATAAATTAATTACAGTTGGAAGGGACTCTCAGAACATATTTGTTTTAGATCTTGCAGCCTAAGGCACATGAGTTCTATCATGAATTAAAGATCTCATTTGATACAGCATTTCCTTTGAGGTAAACATTGTGTTAATAAATCATGAAAGTCTCAAGTGAGCTTCTAGTTTTTGAACAGTTAGCTTTCTAAAGAAATTTTAATTATCTTTCATGAAGGTTTGTTTTAGATCTAAATAAACATTCTTAATTTTGATGCTGTCATTTTGATCTTTTATGAGTTACATTCAAACATAAGGATGTTTTGTTTTGAATCAGATTACCAATCGCTTGATTCCTCTGTGAAAAAGGGAGATGAAATATTTTTAAATATATGTTTGTTTTTTAAAGTTGCTATAGTCATGTACATGTAAAACTAATTTGGCTCTTTTCTATCACAGATTTAAGGTAAACCATCAGTGCTAAATTTGTACTTTTAAAGCATCCTTCCAGTTAATGTAGGTGTTTTACACTTTTTGCTGAGCTAGCTTTTACCCATCTAATTCAAGTCCACATGCTTATGCATACAGCAAGGAATGGCTAAAGCAATTTTGCCCAGCTGATTCTTTCCAGTCCATTTGCCTGGGTATATCTTTAGTATTCCATATTATAAGTTGTACCTAGTTGATTTTTTCCATACTGGAACCACGTGGCTTTGTGCTATCTATTACTTCCTAAAAGCAGCAATAAATCTCCTTTGAAAAGTTTGAAACATTTCTTATAAGGCTGCTTTTTTTTTTCTTTTAAGAACAATCATAAGCTACAAAATAAAGATATCATTTTATGAATGTGTCCTAAAAAGTATTTATGCATGCACAAAAAGACTTCTGATGAGAGAAAGAGCATGTGTTCCAATATTACCATCTTGAGTAGCATACCAGTGTATACAAGTATTGTCTTGTTCCCTCAATTTTAATTCTTGCTGTAGAATACAATCTTCTGCTGTAAAAACAACTCTGAACATGATGTGATTAACCTTAGGGTCCCATCCCCTCATCTCAGAATCCACCTCTACTTGGCCTGTGCTTTCTATTCATGTTCAACCATCTCATTTCCATATTGGCTTACTCGCCCTCCCAAGCTGCTATTAGCATAACAGAGCTTTTTCATGACATTGATTGAAGCCAGTGCTTGCTGAACACAGTATCAAAGCATAGTTTGCAAGAAATCAAATCTAATTTACTGTGTACAGTATTTATATTGCTTTAAAAAGTGTTTCTAAGAAAAAAGTGGCCCAACATCTTAATTTTAATTGTTCTTGGTTGTTATTTCTGTTGTTTTTAATCTAATTATCTGAAAAGCATGCAATATATTTTCCTTGGTTCCTTTGGAACCATTTACTTTGACTTGCTAATGTCAATTAAGCAAATATGTTTTCTGTTTTCTTTTCTGTGACCCTCTTAATCTTGGACCGTAAGCAGAGAATGCCAACTGCCTGATAGTCAAAAAGAGTTGTTTATTGCATTGTAAATGTTTGATCCAACAGTTTTTTTAATGTGATGAATTTTTAGCTGATTAAATATGTGAAATCAAGTACAGCCAGCATTTCCTAAAGAGTTGTAGGTTCTGTGCTGATTTTTTGCTAGGAAGGTGGCATGCCTTACTTGATTGTTCCTTGCATGACTGTGTATCAGCCTTCCCCAGTCTTTATCTCCAGATGATGCACTGGACTGCAATTCCCATAATCGTAGCCATGAAGTCTAGGCTGGGGAAGGTTGGTGTACCAACCTTGATTTACCAATTCATGCATTCACATTCCAGCTACTCTTCTTTTCATTCCATGACCTTAAGTCATTCTGTGCTGAAACTGAAGAGATGAAAAAAATCAAGCTCTGAAAAAGAGGGTACCAAGTTTATTATAGATTATTTCCTCCATATCTGATAAATAATACAACTCCCACTTATTGTAACATAAAGAATGCGCAAGAGCTAAAAATCTGAAAGCATACCTCTAAGCATATCCGAACCCTACCAGAAAAAAGGACCTTTTACAGAACAAATTTCATTTTTCTTTGTTGGTTTGGTTGGTTGGTTGAATAATGTGGTTTCAGTCATTTTTTCCAATTTGTACTGCAGATTGGGCGAAATAGAAATGTAGTAAATAATTGTTGAATGACTAATAAGCATTTTATGCTTCAATAGTAAATGCACAATGCTGCTAGAGATCAAATAATATTGATCATATCAAGTAATGAATAATGCATTTACTCCTTGATTGTCTGTGCAACATTGCTCTTCAATAGGATATTGCAATTGTTATTATGTGTGATGATGTCATCTCCAAATTATGCTGACCCTATGAACAAATGCCTTCCAAAATGTCCTGTCGTTGATAATGCTGCTCAGCTCTTCTAAATTCAAGGCTGTGGCTTCCTTTACGAAGTCACTCTATCTCGTATTTGGTCTTCTGCCTTCAACTTTCCCTAACATGAGTGCTTTTGCCAGTGAATCCTTCCTTCTCATGATGTGCCTGAAATATGATAGCTTCAGTTTTGCCATTTTTGCTTCAAGGCTTGATTTGATCCAAGACCCTCCTGTTCATCTTTCATTCATTCCAGGGTGTTCCCAAAGCTCTCCTCCAGCACCATGTTACAAATGCATCTGTTAGTTGAAAAGCGCTATACAATGGATAGCAAAAATATTTCCATATTTGGGATTAACTAATGCTCCATATGCAATTCTGTTATTCTGTGGATTGGGTCTACTCTATATCCCACTCTTCCTGTCTTCCACTTTAAGTAAAACAACTCCTAAAATTAATTTCAGAACTTGTGGATGCAAAGTTTTCTTTGGTTTTGCATCTGCTTGCCTATTTCTCCTCTTATAGGTTATCTGTATAACATATATGCTCACTGGATTTGATATCCTTACTATACAACTCTACTATTTTATGATTGTATGATCTCATAGAAACTATTCTTGATGCAATCATTTATTTGAAATAAGATTTCATTTTGCGTTGAGATTTGATCAATACAAGTTTGTGTCCCTGGGCATTGATTAAATCATAGGGCAAAAAGAAAACTTAATGCTAACAAAAGATTATATGAAGTTTCCTTTTTGCACAGTGTTTAATCACTATGCTCATGTGCATAAATAACTTGAAAAAGAAAAGGACATAAGCTGAAAAATGCAACAGATGTATTTGGGCAGCATTCTGAACTAATTTGAAAATCAAGAAGAGAGTAATGGCTGATTACTAACTCATCAGTGCTACCTGTAAGCACTATTGGGTAATTCGTGCCCTCAAATCCTAAGGGGAAAATGGATGGGCATATATGCAACCTTATTTAAACCATGTAGAGATGTTGGCATAATGTCTGAACTTGCTTTCAAAACTTGCATTCCTTGTTCTGTTATTCAACCATGGGGTACTTTTCTGTGATTTCTCTTAGTGTTTCAAAGATGATTTTCTCTGAAATGGAAAAGTACTATAATAACACTTTTCACTTTTAAATGCTTCATATAACTGCTAATAATGTTCATTTCTTAATGTCTTATTTTCACTTCTCACATCATAGCTCCTCCACAGTTTGTGGTAAGGCCACGTGATCAGATTGTCACCCAGGGCCGAACAGTGACATTTCCATGTGAAACCAAAGGGAATCCCCAGCCAGCTGTGTTTTGGCAAAAAGAAGGCAGCCAAGTGAGTATTATAAAGGTTCATTCTATATTCCCTCCACTTCTCTTCTTCTATGTTGCATCGTATTAACTTAGAGAACTAGTGTGGGGTTGTGGATTGTGAATCCAGAGATCTAAGTTCTATTCTCTAGGAGGAGAAATTTGTAAAAGGCACCTAGTCTTCCCTGTCAAATAAAGAAAGAGAGGGTATTAATAGAGTATAATTTAATATAATAAAATGATAAATTAGATAAGTACATACAAATACAAATGTTCCTGTACTAAGAACAGTGACCTTTTCTACATCAGTCATATATTATATGCTTGTCAATGCATACCTCAAGTTGTTTATGGGCTCTTTATTACTATTATTCTTATTACATTACATTTATCTCCCACTCATTTCCTCTTGAGTAAATTATGACAGTTGACATAGTCCTGTTTCACTTCATTTTAGCCTCGTAGCAACACCCCTGTGACGTAAGTTAGGTTATACTGAGAAGGAATGCACTGAGCCAAAGTCAGCCATTGAGCTTCATGGATGATTAACACTAGAAACTAGATCTCCTAGGTTCAACATTGTAAACCACCATGCCACACTGGTGCTTTAGATGACATTGTAGCCCTCTAATTTCAATTCTGTTTTTAAGAGCATTTTCTCAGTCTCCACTCTCCCAGTATGTGGAAAAAATAGAGTATTATTTTGAAAACAAAATAAAATGTATTTTCTTAGTTGTGCTATTGCATTGTTCCATTATATTATAGCATGTCCTAGTGGCTATATGCCAGGAAAGCAGGAAAGGAAAAGCTTTTTTGCAGGGGTGGTGGAGTTTAGCTCTCAGTTCAGATAAGCAAATGAAAAGCCTTGTGTAGAATGCTCAGTATTTTAAAAAGCTGACATATTCACTGGTGATACAGGAAGGTAGCAGTAGACATACCTTCTACTTTGTAAGCCACCCCGAGGCTTCGGCAAGGGGCGGCATAGAAATGTAATAATAATAATAATAATAATAATAATAATAATAATACCTGCCTTCAGAAGTTTCTGCTTTGTTTATAAGTACAGCTTTTTCAAAGGATGGGGGATGATAAGCAAAAACTTGAGAAATAGAATCTTGATGGCATTTACAGGAAAGGTAACACAGAGAAAGATCATCATTAACCTAGGAATGCATACCCAGGATCCAAAGAACTATGAAATTAATTCCATGAGCTCAAGTTTGTTTTGTACTTGTTTTATCTTCCAGATCATAAACTGATTTCAAAACCAAAGGCAGCTGTTCAACTAGCACAGGTTCAGCGTTTGGAAAAAAAACAAAAACAATGACAATGACAATGTGTTTTTTGAACTTTTGTTCATGAAAGTAAAATAGCATAATTCAGAGCAGAACTGAAGCCAAAATATTTCCTGAGACATATTAAGAGGAAACCTATGCTCAGAGAGCTCTTAGGCATAAATAAGTTACCTGTATAGATCAGCATATAAGATACCCTTGAAACCAAAAATAGTAAAGCAAAAATTGGGGATCGCTTATACACCGACATGTGACAAACATGAGAAAAACAGCCCAAAATATTGTCTTACGTGCAAGTCACCTTATATGCCAGTCTGTATGGTATACTGCTAGAATACTGTCATTCACATTTTCTTGCGGGAGAAAAAGTAATAGCTCCACATAAAGAAAGTAATCTATTCTTCTGAAGATTCTGACAAGAAATGATCATTATAGATTGTAATGCCAAAATGTCAGTGGTATGCATTCATGGCTCTTCATCTGCAATGACTTCTCTGTATGGTGTTAGATGAGATAGGAAAAGTATGGAGCCAAACGTCTCCTCATGGATGAGAATCAACCATTGCCTCACCCTTTTGAAGCTATATGGCCTTTGTCATTCCAATTTCCTTTGTCAGTGATCTTCAGGATGTTCTATAATCCACAGTTGTTATTCTTGGAACTTGTATGACTACTTCTTAGTCTCTATTTTCATGTATTAAATATTAGTATTACATTGCATTTATATCCTGCCTTTCTTCTTCTTGCAAGGAACTCGAGGTGACTTCCTCCTCCTCTCCATTTTAAACTCACAACAGCACCCCTGTGAGGTAGATTAGGTCAAAGGCAGTGACTGGCCCAAAGTCACCCAGTGAACTTCTTGGCTGAATGAGTGCTATAAGCCAGATCTCCTGAATCCCAGTACAACACTCTTACCCAGTACCCCACACAGCTAAATGTGGGAGCAAATAAATATGATAGCAAATTCCTAGTGCCACTTTCCTGATATGAATATGATAGCAAATGGATATGATAGCAAATTCCTAATGCCGAGTGCCACTTTCCTGGCACTTCCTAAACCTTCTGAAATATATTTTGAAGGATGGTGAAAAAGATGAGAATTGCCTCCCCTCCCTCATTATGCCAGTACAAGTGCTACTCTGGATTAGAAGACTTCTGTGGATGATGTCCCTTCTCCACTGAAGGCAGAACCTGGATCCAAGCTAGTGACCTCTGAGGTCCAAATTTTTGAACACTAGAGTAAATCAGATGGCGCGACACAAACTTGTCAACTCAGAATCAGCGTCCAGTTTGGGGTTTTAAACAGCTAGCACTTAAACAAATTCAAGAGCATAGATTCAATGTGATTTACATTGACAAGACCTATTGTAGCAGTAATCTCTTTGGATGTTTACATTAATTATGAATCAGCCCACTAGACTGTATCTCACACAGTAAAATAATTTCAATGCATTATTTTAAGAACAAGTTGGTACACACAGGAGTATTTCTTCCTACACAATGTATATGCAGGATTGTGACAGTGTTTCATCATAAGCTTATAACAATAAGGATAGTGAGATTTGAAGCTTTTTAAAGTCCCTTGCCTAAGCATAGTTCAGAAGTATTCTTGAGCGTGTTTTTTTCCTGCTCTAAATCTAAATTGCTAGTAATTATCTGATTGTTCAAATATTTGCTCAGATTTTTGTATGCTCATATCAGGAGTTATATCTATCGATATTATTTGATATTTTGAACATTTAGGTATCCCAAATTATTCAATTTCCCAGCATAGGAATTTGGTTATTATTCCCAGGATACCCAAATTTAACCCAGCACAGGAACAGATTTTCAAGAATCATTTGCACACTCATATAATTTGATTTCCAAAAAAATGCCAGTTGGATTAGACATATACTTTGTTACCTCTGTCTATTTTATTGAACAAAACAAACATATTTGGGCTAACATTCAAAACAATTAGTTTGCATGTTATATAGTTGGGTTTACTACAGGAGAAAAATGCTTCAAGGAGAAAATATAACTCCATTTTTGAAATGAAAATAAGAACAAACATTTAAAAAACCTTCTTGTAAAAGTGACTTAATAACATGGTAATGTTTATGTAAAGTGGGCTTATAGTGTCACACTTGAATCTAATAAAGTGGACATCCATCATGTTGTAATAAAGAGAAGAGCTTCTAATTAAAGTAGGACATCATTTGCAGGATTAAAGTCATTTAGTGTAATTGAAAAGTGTTAATACCCTATTTTATCCTCTTCCATTGGTATTACTTCAAGGGTAAAACATTTTAAGGTGAAAATGTGTCTTGTGTCTTTAATTGAATGTTATTACCTACTGATTGTAACATGTTGAGGCTGTTTAATTACAAACCTGCAGAATTAATTACAATATTGAGACTCAGATCCCAAAGGGTTAGAATGTTCTCTCTTTTTTGGCAAATAAATGTAACATAAAAATTGATACCTCAGTTGTTTATAATCAAACCTTGAAATGTAACTCAATGTGATTCATTATACCCACATGTTTTTTCTTAATTGAGCTGCACTGAAGCAACAGAGGTTAACCAGGTTAATGTTTCCATCCTAATATGAAATTTTCCAGCCTTTGTAGTGAGACATTGACCTATTAAATATTTTTAAAAGTGCAATCAAAATATTTCATCATCAAAATCAAGAGCATAATATGTTAGCCTTGCCTAAATTTGTATGTGGCAAGTACTCATTTTTTTCTTTCTCTCCCAGTAAGTCTTTCCTTCCTTATGAAGAAACCCAGTTCTTTTTTATAAAGCTTCTATGGCAGTGTTTAGTTCAGCTACTTAAGTTAGCTTTCTGTTATAAATTATGAGGCATCCTTCACTTCCAACCTGTTCCTCAATCCTGTCTTACTAAGTACAGCCAGCTGGAAGGGAGGAGAAGAGTTCCCCCTAGATTATTCCTAGTGCCAGTTTATGCATCAGCAGCTGGTCCTTTGTATTTAGTAGCCATTTCACAAAAGCTCACAGTCAACTCCTCAGAAATACACCAATGATGTAAGAGAATACATGTAATTCTTTGAACCTTCTATTCTCCTATGTTGGAGAAATTTCAGCATAGTGTAAGTATAGCTCTGCTAGAGTAAACAGATTCAAACCAAGGATGAAAATTATAAAATGCCTGCTTCGGCTCCAGTTATTCCTAGTTTTCTTCAATAAATAACATACTTTAGTTAAGGTGCATAGTTCTCTGAAAATGTGTTACATGTTCTGCCCTGTTGTTTTAGCTGTGCCTCATAAACACTTTGCTCTAGTCACTTTTGTTGCCCTTTTCTGTACTTTTTTCCAACTCAATAAGACCATTTTTTCAGGTAATATGACTGTATCAGAACACAATTGTAGCTGTATAAGGAAATATTCCATTCCTAATTATGCCTAGCATGGTGTTTGTGTCTTCGTAGCATCTTACTCATAGCACTGGGCTAACACTTTTCATTTAGCTGTCCAAGTTGCCTTTCTTTCTCAGTCACTGCTACTTCTGATCCCACCAGCACATACTTGAACTTGGGATTTTTCGCCCAGTTTGCATTACCCTGCACTTGCTTATGTTGTCCCATAGAAACTGTATTTAATATGTGCAAAATTAACTGAAGGTTGGTATCCTGAATAATCTTCTTTGCCAAGTGCTAAGGGTAGTTCTTTAAATTCACAAGTGGAAAATGTAAATGTAGTATTAGAATATGTATCCCATGTTTTTCTGCAAGAAGCTCAAGGAGGCATACATAGCTCTTTCATATTAGCCTTATGAGGTAGGTTAGACTGAGAGAGAATGACTTGCACAAAGTGACATGATGAGTGTGATGAGAAGTAGGTGCCTAGCCTTACAACCTTTTACATTCAGTAATTGCTTTTCTGTGTGAAGCCTCAAGATTTATATGTTATTTCTACATGTGGTCCTGTGTAAAATGCTGCAAATTTCAGTAAAATGTCTCAATCATGTTAACCACAGTTCTGTACTTTATCAGTGGTGAAAAATGTTTTTCACTAAAAGTTTGTGTCTCTGTACAGATGTGCTGATTTATGGTGCAATCCTATACAATCTTACCTGGAATAAGTCCTATTACTATTGATAGTATGACTAATTATATTTCTATCCCACCCTTTTTCCTTTCAAGGAACTCAAGGTGGCTTACATAATTGTCCACTTCCTCTCAATCATATTCTCACAATAACCCTGTGAAGTATATTTGGCTAAGAGTTCATGAATGGTCCAAAGTCACCTAGTGAGCTCCATTAGTGGACACTAAAACCTTAGATCTCCTGACACCCATTCCCATACACTTAACATCTGTAATAGCTCTCTATAGTCCCATAGAACTCAGCAGGACTTATTTCTGAGTAGATTTGCATAGGACTGCACTGTACACGGCAAATTCCTTTTAAAGAGTTAACCAACCTTTCTTTAACATTATATTATTTGTGCATATTCTTGCAATGACTATTACTTTTGCCTTAACTTACAGATTCACCAGGGTCTCACAACTTTTGCACTGATGGGATTTGCATTTTATTTGCAGAATCTTCTTTTTCCAAACCAGCCTCTCCAGCCCAATGCCAGGTATTCTGTGTCACCAACAGGAGACCTTACTATTACCAATATCCAGAGATCTGATGCAGGCTACTACATCTGCCAAGCACTCACTGTTGCTGGAAGCATTTTAGCAAAGGCTCAGTTGGAAGTTACAGATGGTAAGAAATAAGATTTATGCTGTGTTCTGTATATATCACAAAATAATTTGGGGCTACTAAGTGTGTGCATCTGTAATGGAAAAATACACTCTATGGAATATATTTTATACCCCTAGCTGTTTATAGATTAAATGGACATTAGCTTATCCCTCACCCAATTCACCTTCATCTTATTTTGATCTTTATTAAAAAAAATATACTCTACCTTTGAATATAATTCCCAGGACAGCACACAACATTTAAATTAAAATAAAACAAATTTTAAAGTATATAAATATACTAAAATAGTAAAATCACTGGGAGTAGCACAAAGACAACAAGTCTTAGCTAGGATGGAAACAAAAAGACTTAAAAGGCTAGAGATATTAATAAAAGTCAAAATACAAATAGGGAAATGAATTCAGTGTACTGTAGGTTCCATGCACAGAGAGCATTCCACAATCAGGGCACCGACACTGTAAAGGCTTTTTTCCCCGATAGCCAGTTACTTCATTTGAATCTGTTGCAGATTCTCTAACATCCTTATCTGTGGCTCATAAAGGTACCTTCCTTTTCTCTTTGCTACACATGTAGCAGGCATAAGATTCATTAAGGCCTAGATATTAAAGTAAAATCAAAGCTGTCATACTGAAGTTAATTGGGTATCTGAATTTTAACAGATAAATTTTAACTGTTGTTTCTTTATGCACTATATAATTGAAACACAGAGATATGGATTCATAAGTTTACCCAGTGCCACATTAGCACTGGTCGCTTATCTTTGCTGTTCCCAAGGCACCTCAAGTATTTTATATATGGATTGCTTTTCAAGGGGGCTTTAACAAGGATATAATGTGCACTATGGAATGAAGAAAGTAAATGGAAGTAGGCCAGAACTTTCACTAGTAAGGTGATTATGTTCCATGAACTTTTTGTTTTAAAAAAGAAATCACTGATATGAATAATCTCTATGAGTCTCCGCAACTTTAATATAAGATTAAAGCACACTCTTATACAGGAATATACTTAGCAAAAATCTCCAAAATATTCAGAGGTAATAATAAAGCAAACCTTATCAGTAGCAATCATTTCAACTTGCAATCATTGTATCTTTGCCACCACTCCTCGAAAAAAAGCCTTGTGGAAAAAACTCTCCTTTAGTCTCATTTCATCCATATCTCCTCTAAATGTTGTTACTGCTAGTATAATAATTATCTTTATGTATTTTGGACTGTTAGTAGCACCCCAAATAATGAAAATAATGCTTAGTGATTCATTGCACTCTAAGACTTTAATACTCTCAGTCTTAACTGATATTAAATACCTCCCTACAGACTTTGATTAATTTTTACTATTAAAACCATGTGCTACATACAGATCTGCCTTTCCATGTCCCTTAGAGATCCAAAAGGTTCATGAAAATGTTTTTAAAGGCTAATTCTGAATAATCTGGCTTTGCACACACACATATTCATAATGAATGACAGGTAAAGAGGTTGAGCACTATGTTCTAAATATGGGTTTGATTCGTTTCCTTTGTTTTCCCAAAAAGATGATGTTATTTTTATGACAAAGAAAGGTAATTCCTTTCTTATTCTGTATCTTTACACTTGTGCTGCTAGTTCCTGGAGATTAAAGCCTAACCTTCATCCAGTGACCTCTCTAAGTCTTGCCTTTCCTTCATTCTTGAAGAGAAAATGATGCATTTTCATACAATGCAAATTTACATGTAGATTAAAAGAACATTTAAAATTAATGGAAGAGCTGTATTTTCTTAAAATCTGTCTGCAGGGCTGTCTGGTTCAGTGCCATGGCAGTGATTGGAATAAATAGAGCACACAAATATTGGCCAAGAGGACATTGAGCTGTTAATGTTTGCACCTGCTGGTGCTGAAAAGATTTACTGCAACAGGAGCCGAAAGGAGCAAGTCAGGTTCAAGGATATCAATGATGAGAAATTCTTCTTTCAGACAGTCAAGGCTTATGGTCTATCCTATTCGCTAGCATTTCTTTGAACATAAGAAAAATAATGACCTCTCCTTCATTTCCTTCCATATCTTCAAGTAGTCATTTGTAATATTAAATGATGTACCTGCAACAAAGAGAAACTCATATCCAATTTCTTACACTCTTCATTATTAAGTTTATTTTCCATTCTTTCTTCAAAGAATTCATGGCAGCACATGTGGGGCTGCCTCCTTTTATGCCTAATATAAATATGATATTTTCGATGACATTAATAGGAAAGGGCACTTTCTGAAAGGGATGTCTAGCTTCTTAGTGGGAATAAAATACTGAGATGTGAGATTGCTAGTGGTAGTCATATTTTAAATTACTATCTTTATGGTGTTTGACTGGTAATTCTAGGGCATTTTTGGTAGCCCAGAATGTTTTCTCTTTGCTTAATGATTTAATAATAGGAGCAACTTATCATTTTCATTTTGCACAATTTTGTAGAGCAATTTAAGTCCAGTCAGAATGGCAGAGAATGCAAAAGTATAACATGAACAGAAAAAAAGTATTTAATTATACCAGATCTAGCTGTGTTTTAACGTGTTTCATATTTTGCATTTTTTAGTTTCTGTTGGAAATATTTTTAACTTATGTGTTAATATGAGAAGAGAATACTAGCTGTGATATAATCTGCTGAATTAAGTGATAATTTTCCTGATTATGGATTGTGGCAACAGCTTTCAATATATTTGGAATTCTACTTTCTGGAAAAAAACCACAAAATGAGCCACCATACGTTTTCACTCTTTCTTTCTTCTGGAAAAAAATAAAATATTTAAAAATTAAGAAAGCCTCAGCGATTTTCTTCAAAAGAAAACTAGGCATGCATCTCAGTCTTATACAGATGCATTATGCAAATATAGTAGAAGCCTCAAAATATACCTGTCAGCATGAATTTAATATAGAAAATTCATAATTAACCCTATATAGTTGAGCTTTTTTAGTGCACTTAAATGCCAATCTCAAATTTCTCCAGTTTATTCATTGTTGGCAAGAATAATTATTATTTTGTATTTTTTCTCTCCAGTGCTATCACTAATCGTTTTGCATATAGATAAATCATACTTCATATTTAAAAGGTAGAAGTTTTGAAAGGTTAATGATTTTTTTCTTTATTGGACAGTGAACACTTTTCCAACAAATGTCTTGAACTACTAATTTGAATGTTAATCTACTCTATATAATTCATATTCTTTCATGTGTGTTTCTCTAATCCTTGTACACAGGGATCTTTAACACAGGTGTGAGTAATTTGTGGTCCTTTAGATGATTTGGCATGCAAATTCTTACAGCTCTAGGCTAGATAGCTATTTTTGAGAAGTGATGGGAGCTGTAGGCCAAAATGTTTAGACAGCCACAAGTTATCCACTTCTCTTTATGAGGAATATTGGAGATACAAACTAAATAAAACACACATGTTTGGCTATACGACTCTGAAATTACATCTGTTGAAGCTGTAAAACAAACAGCTTAGGAAAAAAAGGCAATGAACATAGCCATTGATATATGCTTATATTTATTGGAACTTATTTAGGTACTTCTAAAAGTAAGTGAAACTTACTTACTCATATAAGCAATCATTTTCAAATCTCATTGAATATTGCTATGTAAGATGAGTTTGCATGTTGAAACCATTCTGTATATTACTAAAATATTCTGTCAAAACCTCTGCAGATTTAAAGACTGTATAGAGCTTGTACAAGTTATAGTTATGAAGCCAATATAGTTGTTCACAGATCACTGGAAACCCTAAGTGTTCATTTAACCTTTAGCCTTAGTGTCTTGGAAACCTGTGGTAGTCTTTCACCCATAACATCCTTGAAAATGAAGAATCCTTCTGGCCGGGAGATTTTCAATTACTTTATTGATCAGTTGCATTTATAGGATTATGATCCACTCATTTGGATGGTAAAATTAAAGTAGATGGCCAAAGATGCTATCTCTATACAATAGTGTTTTAAAGTACTAACTGTGTAGCTTGTCTTGAAACGAGTATCTTTACAAGTAATAAAGATAAATGGCTATTATCATTGAAACTTAGACTTTTGTTTAAATGTAATGCTACATCTATTCATTAACCCATGGTGGATTCCTATAGGCTTTCTGTATTCACTTTAATTGACTTGCTGAAGGTATCTTAATATATGACCATATAAATTTGATATACTATTTCTTTCTTTGTTGCTGTTTTCTTAAATTGCAAGCAAGATATTCCATAATAATAAGTATATTAATGTTTTATATATTATATTTTATTGTTTTTATACTTTGTTCTATACCACCCAGAGAGTTTCAGCAATGGTCTATACAGAAATGAAATAATAATAATAGAAGAATGTCCAATAGAAAACATTTAATTTCAGTATTAATATTTACTTAATATGCCCTATGTGGGTGAATGGATAGTAGAGTAATCTGCAATCCTGAGGATTAGCCTTTCTCAAATATCCCATAGCAGAGTACTAGCTGACCTTAAAGTATTATGCATGGTGTGGTCATGCTGCACAAACTTCAGGATGAGACATTTGGATTGTAGAAATTTTGACAGGGCTGTTTGACTGCTCTGATAAGGCAGAACTTTTTTTAGCTTTCTGGCTTATCTGGATGAAGTGAGTTAGTTCATTGCTCTGTTGCTTCCATTTAGCTCCTTCTCAAAACAGGCCTAACAAAATGGACCAGAGACCTTCCTTACAAACTGGATATATGGCATGTTTCTCTCCTAAGAAGTCAGGAACTAAGAATCATAGCAACCCTGGCTTGTGCCTTTTGTTTGTTTTTAGATGGAGATACTCTGTTAGGCTCTCCTGAAGCCAGAATCAGTAATCAAGCAGCATGTAGCAACATGCTTGCCTGTTTAGAATAGCCAGCATTCTAAACAAATCTGTTTTGCCACAGATGAACCTGTGTCACCTGCAGTATACCCAGTCCAGAGACTAATGTAATTTTCATCCATTCAGTGCTGATATAAATTGTAACTGCAGCCTTGACATCCAGGATATTTCCATTCAGATTCTGTGTGAATTCCATGGACATACAAGTAACTGAGAAAATGTTGCAATATACTTACATTTAACGTCAAAGAAAAAGCTAATTTCATTTATCTTATTTGATTTCATTTATCTAATTTTTTGGCTTTTTAGTGATATAGGAAACAGAACATATATTTTTCTGCTTACCCGATGGCACAGGGCATGCATTCAGCAGCAGTATGAAAAGTTGTTCTTGCAAGAATAGTGAATATAAGCATGTACCTCACTTTTGAGCTTAATGATTGCAGAATGGACCAAGCATGCAGCTGGGCACTTATATATTATAGGATAATTTATAAAATAAAAAGTACAAATGTATAAAGCTAAGAGAAATAATACAGTTTATAGCTTTAAAATGTGATCAACAATTTGATGTATAAGCAGCTAGATGGTTTGATTAAATATGAAATATTACTGGAGTGCAGGTCATTCCATTAACTAATTAAAAAGGTGTTTTTGTGTGTGCGTGTTATGCATAGAGATGCTGTTTAGTTTTTAGTTTAGCTTTTACAAGTTTTTTCTTAATCTTTCTCCAGAAATTTCAGGGACTTATGAAAATATTATTTTCATGCTTAGCTGTTCCTATATGTGGATGGTACAAAAATGTAGTTTTTCTGTATCTAGAAATAATAATCAGGATGTTGGCATCTTTACTTTATTATAAATGTGGTAGAAGAAATGTAGGAGCACATTTAAACAAATTTGTTCTTATTCAGTTTTAACAGATAGGCCTCCACCCATCATTCTTCAAGGACCTGTAAACCAGACACTGGCAATAGATGGAACAGCTTTGCTGAAATGCAAGGCTACTGGTGACCCACTGCCTGTTATCAGCTGGTTAAAGGAAGGATTCACTTTTCTGGGCAGAGATCCAAGGACATCTATGCAAGACCAAGGAACCTTGCAAATTAAACCTTTACGAGTGAGTTTGATATGCTGTAATAGCATATTTACCATCCTGAAAACAGGAGTTTAATACCTACATGAGAGCCATTTCATTATTCATTGAATTTAAATCAAGAATTCACGTATTTAAAATTGTTTTTTGGGTTGCAGTGATAAAGCTCTTAGTATCAAACACTTTTCCAATGAGAAATTTTGGATCATGCAAGATAGATAAGTCATGCTTACTTATAGGAAAAAAAAGTGTGCCATTCACTCAGTGTGGGGGTGGTAGTACTCTTCTTCCATGCTACAAGCCACATTGTCAGAAGTATCTATGTTACTGTAGGATATTAAAAGAAAAATATAACACATTCTCTTAAATATATTGCTTTGCTGGTATTTATTACTGACTAAACCAAGAACAAACCTTTGAAATGTTTGTGTTGTCCCTCATTTTCATCACAACTGGAAATCCTTGCCCTATCTACAAAAGCCTAAACTTGTTTCTTTGACAGGACTCATAGGTTGTGGATTGCTTCCTTCTACTATTTATTATTGGTTGATACTATTATATTGGGTTTTATTCCTGCTTTACTATGAAAAATGGCACTCAGATGGCTTATAATATAATGACAATTAAAACAATAAACTGCACAAAAATGTGACACAGTTGTAATAAGATTTTCCTAGTCAATAATCTAGTCACAGCATTCTGGATCACCTTAAGATATGATGGTTGATGGTACTGAGAGCCACTGGAAGGTCGAGCAGAGCCAATAAAGACACAATGGCCCTGTCCAGCTTCTGGCTAGAATTGTGCCATTTGTGTAACACCATAAACTGCATGGAATAAGTGTTAAGAGAGTGACTGAAGGCACAATTCTGTGTCCTTCAGGGTGCTCCAAGGTCAGAGAATCCTGAATATCAAATACTCTGTCAGAATATTCAGAGTAAGTTTTGCCTCTCTGTCCTTCTTGTTGTGGTTTTTTCCCCTTCTGGAGGCGTGCCTGAGACCATCTAGAGAGGTCATCTACTGGGGTCACAACAGGATTACTATGTGGAAGCTGGGAAAGTCACTGCCAGTCAGTGTACTGATGGGCCATGCTTATGATTCAGTATAAAGCAGTTTCCTGTATTCCAACCTGTATATGCTTTGTGGCTGCTATTTGTAAAGTTAGTAGGAAATAATTTATATAGAATGCATGCACTGCAGAGACACAAAATAATCAGATACTTAACTAGAAAACTCAGAAAGGTAATTCTGTCTATCCATCTATCTTGCATTCACAGTTAACATTTTAGCACAAGTGTTCTACTGCATGTGCAGTAGAGTGCTAACACTTTTATTATCATGCCTTCTTCCTATCTGCACCTCATAAATAGGCAGCTTTAGTGTACAAAAATGAAAGGCTATTTTGTTTCCTGCCATCAGAGCTCGTAAATGAATTGTTAACCTCCTTGGAACAAAATGGAATTTATTAAAAAAATGCATGCTAGCTTTCCTTGGGTAAACAATTTATCCTCCCTCTCAAGGCTAAAGGCAGATTTGGGCCATGAAGGTTAATGCATTTTTACTGTAGAGCTGGATTAAAGAAAGCGCTTGAATAGTCAAGATTCCCCAGTAGTGTTAGAAAGCTGCAATTAAAGGAGGGAGCTTGGTGATTTCAAACAAACTTTCAGAGCACTGTTGATGGGATTCTGAAGAAAATCCACGTGGCAGTACCTTGTAGGATGTCTGTCTATATCCACCTGTGGAAATGTGAGTTCAGTCATGCAAGTTCATTAATTAGTTTGTTAGAAACCCATGAGCTATAAAAGACAATAGCATAAAATGAAGCTTTTCTCATTTACAATTAGGAGAGAACACCAACAAAAATGTAAGTAGCATGCAGATCTTCCAAAGACTGGCATTTCTTTCTTGAAGCTGAATTCAATCTGAAAAACCAAGGAAAAATGGGTTACTGTGTGCTATGCTGGTTATACAAATGTTTATGAAATTGAACCAGAAGATGTAATTCTGTAGTTAAAAACTTCTTTTTCCTTGAATAGGTTTCCTGCAGTGTCTATGATAAACAGCCTCAATTCTATTGAGGGAAAAATTTTCAGGGAAAATTAGAACATCTTTGAAACAATGGAAAAAAATCTTTACTTTTTTCTTCTCATACTGTTCCACAAGCATAAGCTTTCAAAGGGAAAACTTGCTGTGGTGAGCATTAAAAATGATAGAGAATTTTACCACATGTAATCACTTGCTAGATAAATCGAGGGAAATAACTGGATACTTTTAAAAACAACAATATAGTGAATGCTTTAGACCTTAGATTATTGGCTTCCCATAATGTTGACTGTCTCTATGATAAGCTGCCATTCTATATTAGTCGAAAGCTTTCTTTTTTAAAATACTCTTAGGGCCAACTACATGGATAGCTGCCTTTTGGGAAAAAATATTTTTCCACTTTCTCTGTGAATTGAGCAATAACTAGAATGATGATGCCTAAAAGGCAACCAGTGTATATGCATAATTATGCTTAGGTTGAATCATAATAAGTCATACTCAGGTTGAAAGAATAATTATTTAATTGTTGTCTTTGTTCTTACGAACAGGTAGACAAATGTACGGTAAATGGAGTGGCTGTTTAGTTCTTCAAATAGGTGGTGTGTATGTTTAAAATCTCCACATATTTTGTTCCTCTTAATTATGTACACAGAAACACCAACATGTATTTGATGCATAATTCCATACTAATAAAAAGTTGCTAAAAGCACGTGTTAGTAGTTGGACAGTATATAAAAGCTATAAATAAATAAATAAATAAAATCATTCAAATAATTGTATGTGGAAGAAGCCTGCATTGTGGACAGGGAGCCATACTGGTTTGTATTTTAGTTAAGGTTCAAGTTCAGAAATAACTTACTGATTTGAGTTTTCTTTAAGATTTGACTCTCCTTCTGCAGAAGGCAAAAAGTGACATTCAGCTAATTTAGAAATAAGTCAAGCCACCTTTCTCTGTTGCATATTGCTATAAGGCAATTCAACACCAATCTGAAAAGGTTCCCTACAGCCAGAAAGGTGGCAGGGGATATAATGAAGGGATATTAGTTAATTATAACAGGTATCCTTTGGCTCAGATAAAATGCTTTATCTGATTCATTTGGCGGTGGGTACAGAACCAGTGCCCCCTGGAAGTTTTGACCTACAGGTCCCATAATTCCTGGCAATTGGCCATGTTGGCTAGAACTGATAAGAGCTGTTGTCCAAAATATCTGGAAGGTACCTGGTTACCTATCCTTTTTTAAATGTCATGAAACAGGTAAAAGAAAAAGTAAGCTACAGAAATACCCAGAGTATACCCACAGACAGGATGTGATTTTTGAAAATCAATAAATCCCCATGGTATTAAACCCATTCTTTCATATATCTATAACAATCTGTACACAGAGATATGATTGTGTTGTCTTATCAGCATTTCACCTGAACACCATCTGTTTCTGGAGTAACATACGTGACAAGATTACAGTTTTATGAGATTTTCCTTACTCAACCAATACAGATTTTCATTGATTTTACAACCATTACATGGTCCAAGTCTATATACTAATAAAAAGTTTTCCTGAAAAAAAATGACAGTAAAAGCAAAAGGATGTCAAATGATGAAACAGTATGCTAGCTTTTCTTATTAATGCCATTTTTAAACAAACATAACAAAATTCTTAAAATACAGTATTACTAAGAAACAGACTTCTTTTAGTGTGAAAGGTAGTGAAATAAAAGCAAAACTAGCTGTAACCATGATTAAAGTGGAGGGGCAACTGCTTTTGGGCTTAGATAGGAGCAAATAATATGGAAGCTTTTTAATGAGTTCATGCTTCCTATGTTTCTAAAAATCATGTTTTTTCCTAAATTATAGAACAATAAATCAAATGAAGTGACTAAGAAAGGCTTTGTTCCATTCTGTAGCCATTCTGATTGGGAATGTGTACATAATTATCATTATTATTAGTATTTTTCATACCTCCCCCCAGCCAAAGCTCCCTGGGTGCTTTATACAATCAAACCAATCAAACCAAGAAGTCCCAGAACAAGAATAAGAATTTGCATGTTATAATTAAGGGATGTGTGTGAAAGGTTTCCCTTTGATTCTACAGTTTTTTGCTTTTTCACACATGAGCTTTCCAGGATCATGAGCTAGTTGTCCACTGGTATGTATACCCTGTCCTGTGGCTCCATTCCTTTCAACAGAATGCTTGTTTGGAGGCACATTCAGATAAGGAAGAAGGTGCCTCCTTTCAGCTCCATTGCTTTCAATAAGATGCCTGTTTGGGTACTTATGCAAAGCACATTCAATAATGATTTTGAGGCTTTTGATCAAATTAGCTTGTGCAAGGGTTTCAGCATTCCATCATCTTTTCTCCCAGTGACTAGCTTACCTAAGGCTCTGAACAGGCAACCAACATATTTTCCCTCTCATGGAAATTGCACTGGATAGATTCTCTGCATAAGAAGGGTATAATATAAGTGCCCTCAAATCCAGTAATAAAAAAGTGACAGCCAGTTTCTGGGATTCAAATGGCAACAGTTATCTTTTTATAAGGGGGATCTGCATGCTTTTTCTTAACTGAGAGCCCCTAACAAGCTGAAAGGTAGACAGGGTTCCTTCCTTATCAACCCTTTCCTGGGTGAGCTATGTTGGCTGAGGACCAATACTAATCTTCCCTCTAAACTGGATTCTGCTCGGCCCATACATTTAACTGCAAAGGAGATCATGCCAGTATCACCCCTGCTTGTTCATGCTTGGTTGAAAACTACATTGACTTAACTTAATAGTTAAAAAAAACACACTGTAGGGTGTTTTTGTTTTAAATTTCATGGCATTATTTTTAAAAAAAATAACTGCAGATAATATCAAATTGAGGGTTCAAATCAGTTCAACCCCATTTTGAAATTAATAGATGGTCTCAGACATTAAATTCTTGCTGATAAATATATACCAGTGCTGAAACCCTATTCCAGCTTACTTACTTGTAAGTACTTGGGAGTAAGTAAGTTGGAATAGGGTGCATGTTGCATATCTCTGTGTACTATGTCTCGTAGTAACTTATTTTTGCTTACATAATTGTATTGCAAATAAAAGAAAGTTAATTATATTCAATGAGAGTTTAAAATATATTTCGTACTGGAATGCACTACAGCAACATGAACAGTATAAAATGGCAAAAAATGTTTCCTTTGCACTTTATCATTCCATTTTTCCTCCAATTGGGAATAGACTGGAACTTCAGATATCACTGCTTTTCAGAACAGCCTGACAAATAATTGTTGATGGGGTGTGAACCTGAACCTTCAGGGAACTGAAGGAACTGGACAAATGTCCTTACGTTTTTTTTTCATCCAGATTCTCCAGAATGCAAAACTAGGGCATCATGTGTCAGTTTTTGAGCTTCTGGTGATGAATTTCATGGGTGGATTTAAGAAACCTACAGAGATCAAGTTCAGTCATGCTTGCTGCCACCATGTTTCTGTCACCTCTGCACCCTGGCACATTCAGAGATGTACTGTCAGGGAAAGATATGGTTGCCTTTTAAATAAGAAATGAACAAATGATCTTGTTGCCAGTACCCTATTAGCTTTGATCAAAGACCAGACTACTACTGCTTTAACTGAGTAGTCTGCACTGGCTTGGATTTCTCCAGTCCCATGGACTCCACATATTGTATGACTTTTTTTAAAGTTCAAAGGCGGAAGCAATTGTATTTCCCTTTTTACCAATTAATGTAGTGACTGGGTCTGCATGACATTTCAACTTCCTCCCCATGGCTTATAAGCTACCCCAAATAGTCATGGATTATTCTTGGGTTTAGTAAGCCCACCATGGCTTGGCAGGTGCTTGAAACCTAGATGACATACTAAGCCACAGTCAGACCAAAACCTACAGAGCACCTTAGCCAGAGTAGAAAAATGTGGATATATGGCAAGGGTCCATATTCTACTTGCCTTCCTCTCAAGGAGGACGAGCAGAGCAGCTCAGCACTGATCACTTTGCTGCTTTACTGATGGAAAGAGGGAGAAATAGTGGGGAAGGTATTCCCTACATCCCGTTATCTGACAAAGTTACTTCTCACTAGGTAGGTGGGTATGTCTGACACAAGTGTCCTGGTACTGGCCTCATGAGCAATGTCACTCTCCCAACATTGCTCTGCCGTAAGCCATTTGAGGCTTAGGAAGCAGACACGCAGTGGGAGACAGAACCGCTTGGCTTTGCTTCCTTGAGAATTGTGAAGACTAGTGACCTGTTCCTGTCCTTCATGGTAGGCACAAGAACAGGAAATAACATGGTGAACCCAGGAGAACCCTACACCTGGGGAGGAACTGACATGCAGAATGTGCCCTCCAGCTGTGATGTAGGGGAGCAGGGCAGTTGTGTATGTCAGGGCTGTGTCAGCAGAAGGGCGAGCAAAATTGCCTTCTCTTTCTCAGGAAATTCCCCTCTTCCAACAGTGTCTTTCTCTATTTTTTAACTCTATACATACTATACATTCCCACCACTTCAAATTTCACAGCATCAACAGGCTGCCAATTGCTGCCATTTTCTCCTTTTTTTTTTTCTCAGACACTAATAATATGAGGCAAATGGCAGAATCTTTCTCCCCCACAAAAAAGTTCTAAATAAGCTGTGGTTGAGCTCACACAAATAAGTATGTCTGGGCTTATGGATAGCTCGAGCAATGTAAAAAGGAGGGATCTTTTTTTAAAGACTGAATGAAATAAAGTTGAAAATAAATGTTTTTCATCTACTTTCATCTACATCAAATGCAAGAACAGAAAATCACTGTTTCAGGTAAAAAGTATTCAGTCTGTTCAGGAATTATGAATGCAAAATATTGTTTTGTTTCAGTGTAACTTTCAACAGGGAGTTGGAGGAGTGCTTTTTGTCCCTTAAAACTTTATCAGCATTTTTGAAATGCCAGAAAGGAGTGTTCATTTTATAGACATTCCTGAAATTTTGAGGGAAAAAGAACAAATTGTTTTGAATTTGTGAATTTAAAACAATTCCCCCAGATCATAATTTAACAGTGCTGAATGATGTACATATAGTCTTTGCTGTTAGAGTTATAATAATCAAAATATTTCACAACAACAGTACATAGGGCTTTTTTTGTCATAGAACGCACTGGAACAGTGTTCCGGCACCTTTTTTTTTTTTTTTTTTTTACAAAAAAACTGGCAGTACATATATTTAAAGAATTCAGTTGCCCATATGTTCTGTCTTCTTTATTGATTAAATACATTAAACACTGTTACATGAAAATACTCTGCCTTTGAAAGTGTTGTGCAAAACTGGAGACACTAATAACATGATGAAGAATAGTTTGTGGAAAAAAACTTGAAAACATATCAAGGAGGATTAAGGAGTTAGAATTTACAAGCAAGATACCATTAAATTATCGTTTGTGAAATAGATGTTTCTATTTATTCTGATTCAAAGTGTAGTCTAATCCCTCTAATGCACTAATAAATATTTGGAAAAAAGTAAATGAACATATTATATAAAAAGGTTAAGAATGTCTTCAACTATTTTCATGTGTTTAGATATCTGATACTGGAACATATACATGTGTTGCCACAAGTTCAAGTGGGGAAACATCTTGGAGTGCTGTGCTAGATGTGACAGGTAAGCAATGATTATTTTTGGAACTAAATGAAAGTGCCTGATACATTAAGGATATGCAAAACAAAAATAAATGGAATCAGATAGTTGAGTAGCAATACTTTTGTTTCTACCTATAATTTCATATTAAAGGCCAAAATGCAACATTGCATAAGTAGACTTCCACTTATACAATAAGACATTCCCCTCCTTTCTTCATCTCTGCCCACAGCTCCCCACCCTCCATAGCAGTTTTAGATGGTGCACAGCAACTACACAAGGAGTAAAGGGGTTGCTGTCTTCTCTGTTCCAGTGACTGAAGCCATTCCATTGGTTAGAGAGTAATCCCTCTGTTAGCTGGACCAATATCCAGACTTCATAAAGGCATGTGATGACCTAAGACTTTTCACTCTTTACAGGAAAAGAACAAATGAACAAACACTAGTGTTGGGTTATAAGAATAAAAAGTTGTGGCCTACAGAACAGACAGTATGCTTGGTTCCCCCCCCCCCCCATTTATTACAGTTCTCCCCCACTGGTTTTTTCTAAAAGGAGCCCAAGGTGGCCTCTTTCTCCTTGCCATTTATCCTCACAACAGCCTGTGAGGTAGATTAGACAAAATCAGTGACCAAGTGAGCTTCACAGCTGAATAAGAGCCAGGACTGAGATCTCCAACATTCTAATCACACCAGATCTTTCTGTTAACTCTTTTCACAAACATCTTACCCTATCTTCTCTTAGCTCATTTTGGCTGGGCTCTGGCACTAACACCTCTTACATGTAGCTACAGTATTTCCAGTGGCTGTATAAAGTTAGAATGGCAGCTATGGTCCTTTCCCTCTGTATATTCACTGAGCACCTGAACAGAGCCCCCATGCTTACAGTTACATGAGCAAGACTCTTAGTGATTTGGGTCCTTCTCCAATAAGCCCGGTCTTCTACATATACAATTGCACATGGATATACTTGCACATGGATATACTTCATTTAAATGGAGAAGATGAGCACAGCCTGCCACCTCTTCTATGCTGTGTTATAAATACGTTTTTAAGCTTGTTTTTTTACTTGTTCTTAATATAGTAAACACTTTTTTATTTTAAAAGTGTAAAACATTGCCATTTGTCTCCTACAGAGTCTGGGGGAGCAACAGTGAGCAGAAATTATGATTTAAATGATCTCCCAGGCCCACCATCCAAGCCTCAGGTCACCGATGTCACGAAGAATAGTGTCACTTTGTCTTGGCAGCCAGGCACTCCTGGAAACCTACCTACTAGTGCATATATCATTGAGGCTTTTAGGTATGTTAAAAATTCATCTTCCATGTGTTTTGACCTAATTATGGAATATCCAGATCTGAACACAATTTAAAGTTTTATGGATATCGAAGAGCTAAACCAAGATGACTATGTGTGTTTTTATGGTAAAAATGACTTTTAAACATCATATTATTAATATGACCCACCTGTTACTAAGAAATTTCTGAAATATGCTTTGTGGGTTAGATTTGCAGGGATGTATGTTGACTGTACCCTGAGTTGGAGGCGGTGCAAACACGCAACACTGCAAGTGTTATCTTCTTACTAGTAACTCCAGTATTCCCAATTATCATCTAAGTAAAACAGCTATATTCTGCATTTGTTGTACAAAGATTCATTATTCACTGAAGAAATGGAACAAATGGTTCTAACTGCTGCAAAGCTGCTTACTTTAACCTAGCAACAAGCAGTGGTTACATCCTATCAAACTCTACAAAGTGTCTTGCATTTAACATATGTTAAAGCAAGCAGAAAGAATAGCACTTTAATATATCTCTAGGAGTCCAGTTTAGTAATTACAGAAAGGGCATATAGTAATTGCTGTTTTTCTTCTTTTGCAGATGTGCTTTTGTACATGAATTTTGCATGTAAACCTTTAGGAAAGTTTTAGCAAGAGAATTTATATACATTGTATATTTAATTAATCTTAGAATTTTAGTGTTTTTCCCCAAAGTGTGTGTTCCAGAAAGTGTCATTTTCCCCCATACCTTATATTTTTACAGGTATTTTCCTCATGGGTTATAGCATATCAGCAAGCCAGCAATTTGTTATCTGTTTTGCTTTGATTTTGTGCTTTTTTAATTGATTCACCTGAAACAATTGGAACTATTTAGTGTGGTCAGTGCTGCATTGTAAACTTACTTGCATTGATTTATCTTTACCTACATATTGACAATCATCCCTAAGCATTTTCTAGTTTTGTGCTGTTTTGATCTGTGCTCCCTTAATATATTTTAACTGCAGTCAGTCGGTGAGCAATAGTTGGCAAACAGTTGCTAATCATGTAAAAACAACACCTTACACTGTGAGAGGACTTCGTCCAAATACAATTTACCTGTTTATGGTGAGAGCTATCAACTCACAAGGTTTGAGTGATCCCAGCACCATGTCAGACCCTGTCCGAACCCAAGGTAACTTTATTTTGTTTTTCAAGTACCATGTTTACAATTCTGTAATATATACTGTAGCTGTTCTTTCCATTTTTCATATACTAACATGACAAAAATATAGGCTATCCATAATGAAAGAAAGAGAAATAAAGAACAGGATGAGTGGTCTCCTTAGTTTGACCTGAACTTCCAGAGGGTCAGGACAAAGTCCAAACTTCTGCCTCCACCATGAAACTAAAAAGGGAGATCCAGAGAGGGGGGTGGGGGTCTTGCTGGAAGAGGTACATAAATGTCCTCTCAATCCCAGTGCCTCTTCTAGGGAAGATCCCTTGAGGCTTGGTTTTCTTTTAATAGCTTGATAGTGTCAAGATAAACTGGGGCAGTGGGGGCAGGAATGGATTTTGAGTCTTTTCTGGGTCAAGTCCACTCTTTAGTAGGTACCCTATGACATTGATCAGGTCAAGGTTTCAAAAACACAGTTGTGCTTAAGAGCAACTCTGATTTTTTTTTTTTATCTCTGCACAACCTTTTCAAAAATAAATGTTGGACAGCCACTGGCAGTCCTTCCAAGGTGCCAGTGAGGCATTATGAAGGGGCTAGTCACAGCTTCTCACATTTGGATCACTGAAGATGGCCACATAGCAGGTTTCTGCAATCAGTGGGAGAAATATTAAAAGGTAAAAAAGGCTGAGGTAAGCTAAAAACAGTACACAGTCTTGAAAGAGAGGACAGGACACTTTGGTGGCTCCGTTGTGTAAAGTTGGAAGACAGAGGAAAATGGAAAGAAGGAAATCCACTTCCTGCAATATGGTTGGTTGTCTGTAGGAGTCATTAAGAATAGGGTAGCTTATATGCAACCTTGGCCAATAATGGTGCCTGCCTGACCTCCAGGGGCAGGCAATTCCACAGAAATGGAACCAACACACCAAAGGCTCCTTTCTGTGTTAGCTCCAAATAGACCATAAACCCATGCTGTATGACTGTAGTGACTGAATGATTTAATATGATAGAAGACACTTATTTCAAGTATTTTTGTCCCAAGTTGATTAGGAACTTATACATTAATAGAACTTGGCATGATAGTGAATAGACAGCCAGTGCAGTTACCTCAACAAAGCTGTTGCATACTATAAAGGTGGAAGTGCTGACAAGAGCTGACTTATTACTTTTTGCATTAGCTTCAGTTTCTGATCCAGCCTTAAGGGCAGCCACACATACAACACATTGCAATAATCCAGTCCAGATGCTATTAGCGTCTCTTAACACTGTGGCCAAGCCATCCCTGTTTATGAAACACCATAGCTGGTGAACCAGTTGAAGCTGATAAATGGCTACCACTGTCACTTGGAACTGTTGTGGCAATGATGGATCCAGGAGTCCTACCTGACTATGAACCTGATCTTTCAGTGGTGCAGCCCATCCAGAACAGGCAGTAACTCTATCTCCCAGGCTTAGAAACTGCTCATCAACAAGACTTAAGTCTTTCAAGGATTCAGCTTGAATTCATTGGCCCTCATCCAGCCCATCAGTGAGTCTAGGCACAGATTCAGGATTTGCACAGCCCCACCTGATTCAGATATCACAAGGAGATATTGATGTCATTTGACTTCAGATCCTCTAATCCTCTGTTGAACAACATTCAGAATGAAATGTTGCCATAGCTAAATTGCCAAGGGACTAAGGAATAGTTGCCCCATGTTCTTCTCTGAAATCAAACCCACAGAGAACAAACAAGCAGAACCATTTTAGCACTGCACTTTCAATGCCCAGCCTATGGATCCTGGAGAATACCATAGACAATGGAATCAAAAGGCTATGGAAGATTGAGTAGAATAGGGTATATTAGCAATAGTTAACTTTAGTTTAGATTTATGATTTTATATATCTCTGCTCAGTCATCAATGCAAATGTAGACTGTTGCCAAAAACTTCAAAGATTCGGACTTGGAAGGGAAGCAATAAAGGAAATACAAAAGCTGTTTCTCTGACAACCAAGGCCCATATCATCCATACGATTGTATTCCTGATCAATAAGAATGGGTGTGAAAGCTGGACAATGAAGAAAGCTGACAGGAAGAAAAATGATACCTTTGAAACATGGTTTTGGAGAACTTTGGGAAAAACCTGGACTCATAAAAAGACAAAAGAGTGGGTTCTATATCAAATGAAGCCAGAACTTTTCGTAGAATCAAAAATGACAAAACTGAGGGAGCTGTACTTTCGGTACATCATTGGGAGGGAAAATGAAGATCAAGCATGAAATGACTTCACTCCATAAAGGAAGCCATGCAGAAACACTGGAACAGTAATGGAAGCAGTACATGTCTACATGTCATCACATATCTACGTACATAACTGTATGTTTTCTTGCTGGGCTTCTTTGTCATTGCAGTATAATAGAGAAGGGACATTGATTATTGTGTTCATGCTGAACCAAAAAACTGAACCCAGCCACATTCCTCTTTGTTCTTTTGTTCTAGAGAACCCCTGGGCCCTGTCCAAAATATTGACAGACATTTAACTAGGAATTAAAGTAACATGTCAATAAATAAACCATTTGCGAGGAAGTAATATGTAGGCAAAAACTTATACCAGTGCAAAACATTGGTCTATCTTACCCCATATTTATTTATTTATTTATTTATTTATTTTTCGATTTATATCCTGCCTTTTTCCTATAATGGCTCAGGGCAGCTTACATCATTCTCCTCCTCCATCTTATCCCCACAACAACAACCCTGTGAGGTAGCTTGGGCTGAGAGTCTGTGACTGGCCCAAAGTCACCCAGTTGGCTCCATGGCTGAGCGGGGGCTAGAACCCAGATCCTCTGAGTCTCTTAACCACTACACCACACTGGCTCTCCCATTATATCTCCCATTTTGATCTCTTGCAAGGAATTCAAATGATGCATGCTATGTGTGGAAAAAGTGGAGAGGTAGATATCACTCTCTGTAATGCTAGAACTTGGGAGCATCCATTGAAGCTCAGCAGTAGGAGATTCAGGAAAGACAAAAGGATCTATTCAGAGCATGGTTAAATGATGGTATTTGTTTCCACAGGAAGTGCTTTGGCCACCATCTTAAATTGTTTTAAAGGGGAAATTAGACAAATTCACTGGGGACAAAACTATCACTGCTACCAGTCACAGTGAATATCTACAACTTTCAAGATCAGAGGCTGTATGCACAGGCAGTCCCATGCTCTTAACCACTACACCACACTGGCTTTCATATTTTATTTTATTAATGTGAGAAAATGTTGGATGCAGTGTTACATAGCAAAGCAGGCAGTATCCAGGAACTGAGAAATCATGGCAAAAAACATGAAGTGCTCTACGTCTCTCTGTCACTGATTTTGTCACCCTCTACACATAGAGAGCAGCTTTGTGAAGTTGAGACTCCTACATCTGTGAGGTCCTGCCATGCAATCTTTAATGCTAAAAACTTCCAGAATTTCAGATCACATGGTATTTTCCTAAAGCCTGAATAGAGCTAGTTTCCCACTGAATTAAAAAAAAAAGTTTATCTGAATGTATACTTTGTCTGCTCAGCGTACAATGAGAAGTTATTTGGACCAATACAGAATCCTAAACTGGAGAAAAAAGTCTTATTTAATTCCCCAACATTTTCCTCCTCCTACATTGATTAAGTAGATTCAAAGAAACACAGCAGATCTTAAACATGTATTCTTATAATCTGTCCATTAGTGGTGGGAGTCTATAGCCACATGTGAAGGAAGAAGGAAATCACTTCTTTCTGCCATTTGCACTGTTTCCTAGACAAATGCACGGCTGCCCCCATGGATATTCTGTACCAACACAGACATGCACAAGATTATATAAAAGCTGCCATACGGAGAATTGTATTGGGTGCAGATGCATGTAAATTACTGCATTTCTTGCTGTAGTCTGTTATCTCTACACATCAGGCTTCTGCATATCTAGTGCACCAGATGTGTATGCTGAAGCCCAGTTTCTACACAGAGATTGAATACTACAGATGAATGGCTGTCAGTAGCTTTTCTAAGATGTTCTTTGAAGGTGCAGAGGGACAGAATTGTACACAATGTCCCTGCTTCCAGTCCCCACGTGTTTGTTTGAAGGTTGGAGAAGTGCCTTGAATTACCATTATCTGTTCAGTAAAGAAGAGGAAGTCTAGAAGCCGGTCCTGAAGCCAACTATGAGCGCTTCTCATATGACCTTAATGTTGTTCATATCATTCAGCTCTTTGGGAAGGGATCATATTTTGCATCAATATGTCTAATTTCGCCTGAGAAACTGCCAAATGATTTTATTTCTTTAAAACAGTTCTCTTTATATCTCATGTATTTCTGTTTTCATTATCTGCCTGCCAGCCCCATGAGCTCCAGCATGTATAACACTGACAGCCTTTGTGGTATCCTACAGTTTAGTGAAATTAAATAATGAATTCAGATGACACTTAGCATAATGTTTTGATGTAATTTCAAATGGCACTCTCATCCAGCCCAGACTTACAAAGAAAGCTGACATCCGGAGGAAAAAGCTATTCACACTAGCCATTACAAAGGAAAGAATCAGCTAAAAGCATTGATGCATAGTACATATCTAGGACCACAGGCATTACTGTATTTCAATGATGGTACAAAATACCATTATACATGCTGGCTATTATAATATTAACAAGCTACTGTTAACAATTAACATTCTAACTTGGCAAGGAAAGGTTATTGTTGTCGAGTATCACCTATGCATCACTCTATGCAGCTGCATTTTTGTTTCTTAATTTTCATTTTCTTCTTGGAGCTGTTGTGAAGTTTGTATTGGGTGCCTGCAGATTCTACTAGTCTATCCTACATAGGTATGCTGATCTAATTTAGGTGACTGTTTAGGTTTCTGCTTCAACAAAATAATTTTCACTACAAAAGCAAAACAATCTCCCTGTTAGATCATCCTTCAGACCCTCTTAGTTCTCAGGTCCTATTTCTTCTTAAATTAGTCTTCATTTCCTACAAGAATTGTAGGTCTTTCCCCATGCTATAATTAATAAATGGTGGTAGAGAAGGCTAAAATGAGAGTAATAGAAATGTAATGGCTCACAAAGTTACCATACATTAAATGAATGTACTCCCAATATTTTTTTGTCCTAGAAAAAGGCCAGTTTTAATACCTGCAAGTAGACCTTGCAACAAAATGTGTACTATTTTTTAATGCGATTTTATCACGCTTTTCAGACAACTGTTGTCTCCCAAAGTGGCTCACGTCAATTGAAAGAGAGAGAGAGAGAGGCCCTATCATCAGGCTTACACACTAAAATGATAAATCACACAAAGAAGGGTATTGGAGAGAAAAAGAAAAGGAAGCTGATCAGTTTTTCAAGGCTAGAACAAGATGGTGAGCTATAAGCAGGCATTCAAATGCTTCCTGGGCCTGACTGCTCTCGTTGTTATTATTGCTTGAATGAGGCTCTTGTTCTTAGGCCAATGGATGAGGCCAGAGCATCATTCCTAGTTCCACCGTTCCCAGGGTGATGTTTAGTCGAAACTGAATGTTCTTTCTGGCACAGAGGGGTGGGGTGAGCTCCCTGCTTCTTTGGTCAATAGGTAAACAAGGTTGGTCTCCCTACTGATTGGGTGTGATTCCTGAGAACCTAGGGGTGCACCTAGTATCCCTAGATCTCCTGATTGACTGCAACAGCCCAAATGTGCTTCGCTTCTCTTCTGTCCTAGGGCAAATGTGGAGTGTTTCTGTTAAAGGTTCCAGTTAGTCATCCATGCCTTCTTCTAGGAGTCTCCATTCTATTACTCTTTCTGCCTCGTTTTTTGATAAATTATATTACCCAATTTTATTTGGGAAAATAAAGAACAATGGATTTTTTGACAACTCTCTTGAAATGAAAAGAGAAAATCAGCTTTGCCTATTCATACATGAATAAAGGATTTTGCCAAAAGAATTAAAATAGCGAGAAGGCTCAACTGAGAGAAATGGTATAATATAGAGCAAGTCTGCTCCTTGAAGATTATTAAATCAAGAGGATTAAGCTTTTATTATCACAATTAATTGACTCTTCTGAGTGACTCCCCTCATTAAGATTGTTTATGATTGCGTGTTTCCCCATGTGTGCTTGATCCTGCAGATATCAGCCCACCAGCACAAGGTGTGGATCACAGGCAAGTCCAAAAAGAGCTTGGTGATGTCATTGTACGGTTGCATAATCCTGTTGTGCTGACCCCTACCACAGTTCAAGTTACCTGGACGGTAAGACTTCCGTGAAAAGATGCAATGAAAGTTCTAAGCTTTCTTTTCCTTTCTCTTTGCTTATGTCAGGTAGACCTAAGGAAGGAAGTCATGTAAAGGCTTTCTCATCTACCATCTGCTATACATTGACAGTACAATTCTATACACACTTATATGTGACTAACTACTATTGAACTCAGTAGTACTAACTTACGAAGAAAATGTATAGGGTACACTGTGAATCCCCCATAAATGTACAAAAGATTGAGGTACATGAACAAATAATGTACTTGTATAGTCAGATAGGCACTGCCTTGTTGAACAGCACAGAACATCTTAAAAATATGTTTAGTTTTTATACTAAAGAAGTCTTAGCAGAATGTGTTCTGAAGCTTTATTGTAAGCTTTTTTCAGTATAGATACCCTGCTGAGTGATCAAAATCATGCAGTGATATTTTAGCACTTCTCATCTGTCCAAATCAATGCAGTAGGTCTTCTCCCCAGAAGCGTCAATTTCCTAATAACCTTTATAGTAATCTCTTGTCTTCCTAGAGGCATTCCAGGATGATCCATACTAAGGGTACAGAATGGGATTAGATTCTGTAGTGTGAGCACCAGTAGTGTCAAATCTACTATCATCTTGGCATTACCTGCAACATGTCTGTTAAATAGTGAAGTGAATAGATTTTTCCTGCTAAAGATAGAGCTTCAAACTGGAACATTTCTTTCCTCACTACTTCAGGGAGAAAAATTGTAACCATAGAAGCAGAAAATTTCTGGACTTCTAAATGAGTAGTTCTGTCCTTCAGGCAGTTTCCCTTCAGGGGGAAAAAAGAGATCATCACAGATGGGAAATCTGAGAAGTATTCACCAAGGCATAGAGTGCTAGAAGGCAGATATTTTTATACAATGAATTCTGCTGTTGAGATAGATGCAAAGAATATTGAATTTTTATGTTTATTTAAGCCACGGAGAGCTTAAATATATCAAGACATCAATCACATAGATGCAAGGAATTATGGTATAGTGATATGTCTACAGTCATGTCTAACTTGTATTATTTAGCCAACCTGCACTCTGTCTTGGATTTACACCACACACATGTGATTATTCACACCAAAAACACACAATGTATCTTCCTAAGATGATTTGGAAGTATTTGGACAACATGTCCTTTGACTACACTATCCGAATTACAGAAGTGCACAGGGATAACAGAGGATACTGAGAAGCTTATTTTTGGTTGCCATAAATACTGGCTCAGGAGGCTTATCTCTGAAATTAATGTTTGGGTGCTGTTGTGAAGACAAATTTCAGTGCTGCCTGGGGAATTCTAGGAGTTGTAAAACCTTTTCAATCTAAACATACCTAGGGTGATACCTTAGGTTAGCAGAGTTCATTCCTGTTACTTCTTTAAGAAATATTAGGCAGATTTGAAGAACAATTTGTAGAGGTTATTTGCTCACAGTTCCTTGGATCAAAACATCAATCCTGAGACATCTGCTTTGGAGAAAAGTTTACTTTTATATGGAACAGTAGGGAGAGTCAACCTAAAGTTCATTTAATCTACATTTTGCCTTGCTTGCTTGCTTCCTTCCTTCCTCTTTCCCCACCTTTTCACAAAGGAAGAAGATACGCTTTTTTGCACAGCAAAATAACGATTATTATGATTACTAATTCCAATTTACATGCTAAAGGAGAAAAGCAGTGACCCACTACCATTTAAGCAGTGCACAATACCCAACAGAGACCTGAAAATTGCTTCAGGGAAGAAACAGAAAAGGCAGAGAAGAGCCAGAGCAGCTAATTAAAAAGTTTCCAGCACCCAGGACAAAACCAATTAATTAACCCAAGTATTCAGAATAACATCCATATTATCCTGAGTGTGAAGCAAGAATTATTAACATAAGGACCCATATGACTAGCTGACAAATGCCAGATGAGTAATAACACTTTATTTTTACCTTTTGCAGTATAGAATTTGGTTTGGCAGATCACAGGCAGGACTTCTAGTGTAATGACTGTTGGCAAACAACCACCTGCCGCTCCCATGTTCTTTTCTTTGATTTTCTTCCTGTGCAGTGTTGCTTGGAATCCCTCACCTCTGCAATACATCAGAGCTTTACAGTATAAAAATAGAGCAAGCTTCCATAATACTATAGTTTGGAACAAGATCTTTTAGATAGGAATAGCAATATGCTAAACATGCAGGATATTTGAGACTGAATCAAGCTCGGATACTTAGACTGTTGTTATACAGTTACTTTCCTGTAATTAATAAATTCTTATGATTAGGTTCCATTGTTTTTGTTTGGTTGTTTTTTTTTTTTGTTGTTGTTGTTTATGCCCCTTTAAACTACCCAATGACTCAATTCTCTAGGTGCAATGCAATATGCTGAAATACATTTAAAACATAAAAAATGAAGCAATGGATAAAAGCATCACATAAAACCAGGTAAAACTAGCAGGTGAGCTTATGAATAAGGTATGAAATCTTATTCTACAGATCAAGTACAATCAATTCAAAGGCACTTTTTCTTTCACCCCTCTATTCATCACATTTGGTGGGGGCACTTGTAGAGGTCTCATCTGATGTTCTTAGAGTTTGCAGCCCACTTGCCCAATGTTAGACTATTTCTTGCCTATTGTTAAAGGCAACAATCTATATAACACCTTGCAATAATCCAAAAGAGATGTTATTAAAGCATGTCAATTTTTACGGGTAGGGCTCCAGTTTGTATATCAACCTAAGCTCAAAGTCACTCTGAACCACCTTTGTATCTAATTGGAAAGCATCAAAGCGCCACAGAATCCATCCCTATAATGTCAGTGTACTTCCTCTTATGTTTGCACCTGTCTTGGAAAATGAACCAAGCTATGAGGGATTCTTCAAATGTTTGTGGAATAAAGCTTGCACAACTGGTGACCTCCTCCCATGACACATGCAGCAGTACAAGCAAAAGCTGCAGCATCTGGCATGCAGAGGGATGCTACTTGCATAGTTTTTGTGTGGAGCTTGATTCATGGTGAACACCAAAGGAATAGTCACCAGAAACTCAGACTTGTGGCTGTTTAAAAGTGGGCTGGAGTCCAGGGAATCTGAAGGATTCCTACTCCTGAAACAGATCAAGTGAAGATCATTCCTTCCTATAGGCAATTACTAAGTCATAACTTGATACAGTGTGATGTAACACTAATTGTTTATATTGCCCTGTTAGTTGGACTTGAGTAAAAACAATTCCTTTTATGAAAATCCTGAGTAAACATGAAGCTCTAGTTTGTAAGCAGTAAAGCCAGCTGTGGCAATATATCAGTCTTATCATGGCCAAAAGGTTATCATTTTATCTCCTTGACAACAAAAATGACACAGAGAATTACTAACAAAGTCAGTGTTATGCTTGTTGCATTTACATAAGACAAAATTCAAATCAGACATATTCATATCTATCATGCTTCAGTGTTCACCTCATTAGGGAACAACACTGATAACATGTGGGCTGCCATTGTCTGAGTAAAACAGAAATTATGACTTGTCTTAGATAATACATAATAGTTACTGAGAGCTACATATGATTAGTTCATTTGATTATAAAGACTACCAAAAGTGCTGAACAATTTGAAATAGTGGATGAATTTGATGGTAGTTTCTAAGGGATAAAAAGGGTTTGAACACCTAATGTTGTCTATTTTACTTTATTTTATTTCTGGTTTATTTGTATTGAGTTGGTTTTTGTTGTTCAGCTGTTGTTACAATCACCAATTTATTGGGTGTTTCATTATCATTTTTAATTAGTATTATTATTGTCTTAATAAATATGCTACTGAGAAATTCTAAAGACATCAGGCATAACATGGAAATTAACTTCTGTTTCCTAAAGATATTTGCTTATAGAAATATATCACATGAATAAATTAAAATGAATTTGAAATTGTTATTCATAATCGCATCTGCTGTTTTCAGCAAGAATGTTATGAAAAACCAGCATTAGCTTTGGGGCATATAGTATCCTACAGTAGACTGTTGAGCTTTTGTCTAGTGGTATCAACTGTTTTGAAGCCTCTACTTGAATATTTAACAAAAGATCAACAAAGGAAAAATGGCCCAAATTATCATTAAGTTGTTTGACCATACAAAACCAATCCATACTCCACCTCAAAAAAATCAAAAATCCCTGTCACATTCTCCCTTAATAACAATATATAAAGCTGTTTGTTTTTGTCTTCTGGTTGCTCATTTAGACAACAAACCAACTACTGTGGGTTTGTTAAAGGAATGCTGCTGCAGGGAATGAAGAAAAATCTGGATTTCTTTGAAAAGATGGAAAGACTTTATCTCCCTGTGCATTTTTTCAGGTTTTGAAAACAGATTCCTGCTGAGCTATGCTGCGACTTACCAGTGAAGTGTGGCTGTATTTATTTTTTCAAAAAGAGAAAAACAAGGGATTCAGGCTTATGGGAAACAACCCCAACTGTATTAGGAACGTTACTGTGGTGTGGACTGACTGTCTCTTATAGGATGAAAAATGTGCTTGCCATGGCACTTCTGTGTATTCTTGCTAATAAGTTTGGCTACTAAGCCTGGATATGATGTGTAATTTACAACAGTTAAGATGGAAGAAGCAGTGAAACATGGTTGGAAATATTTTGTGACAAATAAGAAAAGAAGGGAGAAAGAGATTTGTGTTTTTAATATATGACAAATCAGCCATTAAAATGGGGCTGTGCTTCAGTGGGAGAACAAATGTTTTGCATGCAGAATGTTCCAGATTCAGTCCACATCATCCCTTCCTGAAAACCATGGAGAGCTAGTATGTGTTGACAATTCTGAGCTAGATGGTCTTACTCAGCATAAGGAAGCTTTCTATTTTTCCAGCATACAGGTAAAAGAGGTGAAAAAGCAGGATGACAAGGGATATAACTATGTAGAGAAACTAGGAGCTTACCAGATCCTACACATTGCAGTGCACATGGGAGAGAAGGTGTTCACTTCCTATCCTTTTTCAGCAACTCAGCTATTAGCTGCCAGTACCAGTTTTCCGGTTTATGCTTAATTCAGTGACCAAAACAAGCACTTGTCTTAACTCATGAAGCTTGATCAATATTCAGCATTTTAGTAGGAAGATGTGTGTGTGTGTCATATAATGCAAGATAAGGATGTGAACTTTTAGGTGTCCAGTCACCCAAGGCATTGTTTTTGACAAATGGGTACTTAAGAGAACAGAAAGTAGATGTTATTCATCTCTATTTGAGGCTATGTGAGGTAGCTGAGCACTCTTTCCTCTGACTCTTGTTTTGCACACATCTTTATAAGCCAAGAAAATATGATACATATTTGTGCATGCATATAAGTATTTTTCATGCCTTGATCCAAATACTGCAAGACAGAAAAACTTCAAAAGTAATTTAAATCTATCAATCAAATCCAAATATTAATATGTAAGGAAGAAGGCTAAATAATCTTAATCTTTTATTAATGCATCATATAGGTTGCAGCTACATCTACCAAATTATTCAGAGGAGTTAAACCTGTGTTTTTGTAGTAAACACTGGGTTCATGAAGTCTCTACATCCATAAAACATTTAATTAATGAAACTCAAATGTGTATAAAAACAATTTGTCCTGATTTACAGACTCCCTTCATTTGGAAGCAGCTGCTTAATGTTCTTCTTAAAGCACAGCTTGATTCTTTCAGTATTAACAAGCTATTATTGTGAGTTATATCCCTCTTTCACTGCATAAATTCCCTTAAAGTGTATGGATAGAAGTTTACAAAATGCAAGCTTAACATAGTTGCAACATATGTTGCAAGGTTTTAACAATAGCAGTTTCGATGGATTGCGTCTATGCCTTGATCTCATAAATTTCGTTTCAGTTTCTTGTTTAGTCTGATGTGTGTGTATGTGTGTGTGCACATGTGCATTTTCCTGTCACATGAACTTCATCCCCCATTGAAGAAATTAATGAACAGTGTAAAAAGAATTTAGTAAAAGTAATTGATATTGGGAAGATGGTTTAGGTCTTTAACCTTGTGCTCACTTAACTTCAGATACTGCCAAAATCAGTATAACTTTAATTCTGAAAAATCTCTGAGTTTAGCAAACTGTCAAAAAAGTGAAGAAAATTGTACTTGTTGAAACTATATTTTCAGGCTACACAAATAGGCCAAGTTTGCTACATATATAATTCTGTTTGGCACATTGCTTGCACACTACAGAAATTCATGTTTGTTTAGAACAAAGTGACATATTTGTGCAAATGTATCTGTAGCTCACTTTCAATACTTGCTAACAACAGAAGAAGAAAACCGTCCATTTAGCACAGTTTTGTTTTATAATACACAGTGGGAAGGCTGCTTTTCACTACTGAATTCTTTGTAGATGGCAACTTGGAAGAAAAGGGGTAACATTTCTTCTTCATCTGATAGCAGAAATTTCTTAATATTATTTCAGGTTGACCGCCAATCCCAATTTATTCAAGGTTATCGAGTCATATATCGGCAGACATCAGGATTACCCTCCCCTTCTGCATGGCAGACCCTAGAAGTCAAAGTTCCCATAGAGCGCAGTGCTGTCTTAGTCAATTTGAAAAAAGGGGTTACTTATGAAATTAAAGTTCGACCCTACTTCAATGAGTTTCAAGGGATGGACAGTGAATCAAAATCTGCACGTACTACAGAAGAAGGTAAGTAAAGATATTAAAATAAATAATACATAGCTCATGTTCTAGTAAGTGTATTGCAATGATCTGCTGCACCATGGTTTACAAAATATACAAAAAACATTTTACATAAACAGGGCCTATGATGCTTTCGTTGAAGCTCCATGGCAGTCATTGAGATCTCTGTAAAAGAAGTGCTCTGCTTACGTGTTTTTCATGAATTATATTTCTGTGTATAGTAACATTAGCACTCATGGCATAAGAGGCCATCCAACAGATCAGTGCCTGTTTAAATAAAAGTTTGCAGAGTGTAGAAGTAAAGAGACATTGAAAAAAATATGAATGGTGAAGTCTTAAAAGATTTGCTGCTTTTCATCAATTATCTCATGTAGCTAAATTTAAAGGTATCTAGAAATTTTTCAGGATTTTTAAGTCAAGTAGACTGTGCAGAGCTCCAAAACCTCCAAATCTTAATGGGCTATGAAAGGGAGTTCTGTAAAAGGTGTAGAGGACTTAAAGCAATTGGAAAACTTGTAGGTGTACAAATAACTTCTTTGTTTCTGAACTCCCACAAAAAGTGCTGAATGATAAAAAGATAGGTAAATGTGTGGGTTTGAATGTACTGGTTCTATTCGTTTAAAATCCTTTGACAACTTTATTTATTCTATTTTACCTTATTTTACATATATTTTTCTTTTTTCTGTATTTATATTAAGAAAATAAAATTAATTAAAAAAAAGACTAAATCAACTGAATTTGTGCAATGGAAAAGGCAAATTCCCTGCCTGGGATTACTAGGAAAGGGACTGAAAATAAAACATGTGCATACTTGGAGAGATCAGTTTGGAATAATGTATTGGTTTCTAAGCCACAAAAAGTACCAATTTACCCAACTATACAGAGTACAAAAATGATGGCTAAAATCATCAGTGGATTGGTACAATTTCACTACAATGGAAACACAAACTGCTTAGGACTTTCTAGTTTTGCTTTGTTTTTAAAGGAAACATAAAAACAGAGCGAGTCAGAAGGGGTCTCTTGGGCCATCTAGTCCGACCCCCGGCTCCAGCTGGCTCCACCCACAACATGCCCACCATATGCATGTCTAGCATATCCTTGAACAACATGAAAATTATTTACATACTCATGCATCATATTGACATAGTGGTAAGATATTTTTCTATCATAATATTTCAAATGTAATATCTAATGAAATATAAACAAGACATGAACTGCAGAGCAGACATAAAATCATTCTTAGCCACAACTTAAGTAACCGAGCACTAGAAATATGATGATCACCTAGCTTATGAGGTGAATTGAAAAGAAAAGTGCTTCAGCAGATTAATAGATACATATTAATAGCTTTTCCACATAGTATATAAATCGGGACTGGGCAACATGGGGCCCATTGCATGTTTTGATTATACCTCCCATGAGCATCCAGAATGAGCAAGTAGGGATTATAGCAGTTGTATTCCAAAATGTCAGAGAACAGGTTTCTCTGAATTCCTGTTACTGGGAGACAAGAGCATGAGAGGCCTACCAGATCTTGGAGGCATCTGAATTGGCAACATTTCAAACAAGGCTAGATGGAATCTCTGTTTGTTCCAGCATGTTTGTGCTCTTGTTGATATGGGAGGAAAGTTTCCATATGCTACAAAAAAAGCAGGGAAGAATGTAACCAAAGATGTAAACAAACATAGTGAGCCAGTAGAATGGGTCTTTTGTTTGCATATCTTTTTGGTTGTTAACTTATTTCATCTCACTCTTTCCTAACAATGTAAAAGAGCTCTTAAATATAAATAATAAGAGCCCTTTTGGTCCCACTTTTCTGAAATACTTGAACAATGTGTGAAATTTTAACTTATAGACTCCATTTTCTGGTAGTGTTTGTCAAGTTGTATCATTTGATAAAGACTACTTCTTTGTGGACTCATTCCCTGCCTATAGATATGTTAAATTCACAGACTCAGAGCTGTTGTGTGGATTAATGTAACCTTCAGGCAGTCTGCCTCTTAGTACTCAGCAAAATGCTATAACAAATTACACTGCTGACAGTGAAATGTCAGATTGGTGTGTTGTTGTTGTTTTAAGTGTGTGCACATGCATGTGCGCACACACAATAGCTCCTTGTAAACCAGACTATTTATAGACTGATATGGAAGAAATACTGCATTCACAAAGTGACATTCCATGGCCATTTTCTTTGTGTCTTTAATTATCTTTGTAATTATCTTGGGTTTATGGTTTTTCAGACATAATCCCAAGTAGATTTTTGTTTTAATGAATATGGTTCACTTCTCAGAAAAAAGGGTAATCTTTTTAAAACTGGCATATTTCATGCACTGATGCACAATTCTGCTTCGGGAAATACTTTTTAATAGGTGAAAAATCTGTTAAAACATCTTTTGAAGTATAATGTGAATATTTTAGCTTTTTCAATCTTGGAATGTATATTTCTTCCAAGGCATATACTTAAATATATATCTCATTTTTCAGTGAATTGAATTTTAGAGGAAAGATTTTTTTTCAGAAGCTTAACTCAAAAAATCACTCCCCCATTTTTGCAGAAGACCTGAGATTTGTCACAATTCAGTATCCATTCATCTCTTACCTTTTTGGCCTTGTGAAAGTAACAAATGGAATTCTGTTTGGTTGTGTCTGGAAAAGATGAGCAGCGATTTGGGTGCTTTAATATCTGTGGGAAGGAGCTGAGCACTGGAATAATTGACCTGTCAAGAATCAGGCATGGTGTTCTCAACAAGTCAGCAGCAAGGGAAATGAGAAAATGGTTTAAAAATGTTATTTTTCAGTTATTTTCCAACACTGTCAGGGAAGTGGTTTAATTTATATTATGGTGTCAGCTCTTACAGTATATTGTACAGATGAAGACAGAACAGTTAGAAATTGCATATTACAGAGATGTATCCATGTCCAGGAATTCATATAGGCAAGCATGTAAATCACATGGATTAAAAATATTTACAATACCTGCTCCCAGGTATTGAGTGTTAAGTAATAGTTTTAGTCAGTTCTGAACAGGTTACATGGAGGCCAGATTCCTGTATATTTTCTACCCTGATTGCTAATACACCATCCTGAACATCTTATTACTAGAATATATACTATATAATCATTTTACCTTCAATTGCAGCAGCAAAGCCAACAGCCATTCTTCAGGTAGATTTAACAGATCGGCTTCATAATCTGTCTTTAAAGGAAAGAATGAGACTGTTTTATTGAAACCTGCATATTAGAATCTATTTATTTGTAGATGCAAATGGGGCCTGCCACAACATGTTGCCATGTCAAACGTTCCTGTTCAGTGTTCCAGTAAGCTCTGCCTCATTCATTACACTCTGTTTCTCCTCCAACCAGTTTTTGCTCTCCCACCTAAATAGTCAGCATCCGATAACTACTGAGCACCTCAGTCCTCATTAGGAGGCCTTAAGAATTTCTCTTTCTCACACAGAATTTTGTGTAAATATTACTTTGTACTTCTGAAAAAAATAGTCTTCCCTACAATCTGCTAATCCAGGGGTGAGCAATTAATTTTCCTATGGGGCCACAAGAGAAACTTTGACAGTTGTTAAGGGCCGGACCAATACACTTACAGCTTTGCTCAATATATATCTCTATAAAAACAGTTAATGAAACATTACAATGATACAATGAAAATGTGGAGCACAGAACAACACTATTTAATGAATATTCACAAAAACATTAACATTACATGAAAAGCAATAAATTCAATTCAATTTAGCAGATCCTTCAAAATAGAAGCAGTGCAGTTGTATTGCTTGCATCTATATTACGATGATATATATTTGCATTGACTTTTAATTTGCCAGTGACCTCATGCGGGCCAGTCAGGGTCAGCCATCGGGCCGGATGTGGCCCGCAGGCCATACAGTGCCCAGGTCTGTGCTAATCCCTTTTCTTAAGTGTGAATGATGTTGTTTTGGCTGTGTAATACGCACCTCTGAATTTCAGATGGTGCTGCTTGTTCCTCTTTTCACTGATTTTTCACAGCCCATAAAATACACCCCTTTAGTCATGCAAAACCATGAATTTATCCATGTGTTGTAATTCTTTATTTCTTTCCTTGTTTCTGAATATCTGGGGGCAGTACTACTAAAAAGGAAAGACAAATGGCATGCTGTGCGTACAAAACCAACTCAACCTTTGCTGAGTATGGGGAGGTTATATTAACTATTTTGATGGTGTTAATTTTTCAGACTGGTAAACCAAAATGTATTTAATAAACAAACAAAAATGCCTGTACTGGATTTTTTAATCTGACATAGCATTCAGCCTTGGAATATATGTAGTGATAAAAGTCATATCTTTGCATACATTCATGCTGCAATCTTGTACCTAATAACCTGGGAGTAAGCCCTACTGAAATAAATGGGACTTAATTTTGAGTAAACATGTATATGATTGTTCTGTTAGATTGCTCTTCTCAGCAATCAGGGACAGAAAAACTCATATCCTATCATTCAATATATGTTGCAGGCCTCTACGTATTTAGAATGGTTTCAAGCAGTAGCGTGTAATTAAATGCTTCTTCCTTTTACAATATTTAACCAACTATGACTTTCTCTCACTCTGTTTGGTGCAGCTCCAAGTGCCCCTCCACAATCTGTTACTGTTCTGACAGTTGGAAGCCACAACAGTACCAGCATCAGCATTTCTTGGGATCCTCCACCTCTAGATCACCAAAATGGAATAATTCAAGAATACAAGGTAGGGCTGAAATATAGCAGCAACAAAAACTCTGAACATGTTGTGCATGATGTAATTAATATTGACAAGAAATGATTTATTTTTTTATAAAGTTTGGTACTCTACAGTAATCATTCTCACAACATTAATGAATTCATTCATATTCCTTCTTACAAATGTAATACTGAAAAATAATGTTTTTCATAGAGAATGCAGTTGGTACCTTCCTTAGCTTTCTCCAGACCAAACAACGTTCGTTCGTTCGTTCTATCTAATAAATTTAGCCAAATGCCTCTGTTTCAACATGTGCCTTTGATTCAACATCTGCCTCTGTTTCACTTTGATTAATTAGAGATGTTTGGGTGGGGGGGCATAATATTGTTATAATTGTTATAAATAAGGGATATAAGGGTGGGGGGTTATCTCTTTCTTATCACGTTCAATCAGAACTAAAATTCATCTACTCCCCTCCCCATGCAGACACCATACTTAGGAAAGAAATCTCCCTTTCCTACACACAGAGTTCCCAGTAAGGATCAATATTTCCATATGCTTGTAATTAATAAAAGTGCAGATGTAATTACACACTGAGTATTCAGCACAATATGCTGTTTGGTCCTCAGACAGGAAGGGTAGTGCAAGAAATGCACTCTTTTTCAATATCATTCAGTGTTGTTATCTGGCTGAACAAAAAGTTGTCCCTGGAAATTCTCTGCAGTCACAAGTGTGTGGATCTTAAAATAACCAGATAGCAAATCATCATTCTCGTAGATTTTTTTAATCTACATTGCACCAGCCATAAGTTTAGGAATGTGATACGTTCTTTCACTGAAACTTTCATCCTACTTGAATTTTTAAAAGTGTATGTTAGCTACCACGGAAGAAAGGGGATTTCCGATAAATCTTGAGTTCATTTTGATGTAAAGAATCCAATGTTGTCAACAGAACTCAAGTTCCAGGAGTGTTTCAGCCTTCCCTTTAGCAATATTACTGTTATTAAAAAGAACCAATTCCCTCTGGAAACACCAGGTTTACATTCACCAGCTAAGGCTTTAACTTTTTTCCTATCTTCCCCCATTGCTGCACACTAAAAATATTTTTGAAGTTCTTCAAAAGAAGTGTGATCAGACCCAGCTTTTGACATTTCATTCCTGAAGATAAAAAAATCAAACGACAGCAGGGCCCCTTCGATCTATTCTAGAACTGTGTTTTAACTACACAGAGAAAATGGAGGTCAAAAGTAGGAAAATAGCATGCTCCCCTGGAATCTCTCACCCAAAGCAATTACTTCATGTTGCTTCATGATAAGATTACCCCACTTGTGCTTGAAGTCAGTCTGACAGTACAAAATATAAAAGCCCACTGGCACACAGAAAGCATTGCAAAATTAGTGTATGGCCACAGATATTTCCAAGAAGTTGCCATCATTGTGATCAACTGTGTCCAGTGGCAAAACTGCAAATCCAAAGTAAACCTGGGCCACAGGTTTTTATAACTAGTAGTTGTTCTTGATTCTTATTTAAATTGGATACCACATGCCACAAACTTAAAGATAATAGATTGGATAAAAATACTTTCCATAAATGGAATTGATATTTAGTTTGGTGGAAGGAATTGGCATCTGGTGGAGCTTCCCTCCTAGAGGGAGAGATGCAGCAAACTGGTGGTTTTTTATGGTTGCTTTCCCCTATACTTGGTATCACATCACTTCTCACACTGTTCTGGAAGGTTGTGGTTTTTCAAATGCATAGAAGGCTGTAGTGCAGATCAGTGAAAATAATTATGTCTACCACCACTGAGATCATCTTGTTTATTGAGTTCTGTTTTGAATCACTCTGATCCAACATAATGTTAATTAGCATCCATACATGTATATTACTTCCAATGTTTGAAGTTTTTAATCAGAAGTTATCTGATTAAATATAGGTTACTGAATATTTGTTTGTTTTTTACAAGAATATTCTGTTTATTCTCTTGGACAGCATGCTGTTTATAATAGGTGCTTGCATCTATTGTGTTGGGTTAACCTTTTGCATGACAAACGTGACTAAATCAAGGCATTAATTTTCTTTTTTTAGTTTGGAGAAAACAGAACAACTTTTGTGTGAATTCCATTAACATGTGGTATCTCTCAATGTGGCCAACTGCTGATTTGGACATATTCCCTGTTTTACTGATATTTGTATAGCCACATTAAATCACACTCTCTCTTGCTCACAGACACACCATTTTAAAGATTTTTATATTGTTTGGGCCATCAGAGAAATCTCTACTATATGGCAATCTCTGAGTATATGTAGCTTCTTCTAATGCTTCCATAATAAACAAAGACTCCACTATAGCTATTGCTTGATTATTTTCATAAGAAACAGGATCATCATTTGACAAGCTTCACTTTTCTTTGATAGCGTAATTTCACAGAAGAATACATAACTTCTTGAGTTCCCCAGATCTCTAGTTAAAGCATTCTGGTCTATTGAATATCAATATTTTACTTTTAAATAGCTCCTACATTTTTATTTTTTTTCTCAGGGAAAAAACCTATTATGTTATAAATGCATGTATAAATGTAAGAAGCACATCTTTAAATGTAAGAAACAAAAAGATGCCTTGAAATAATCTATTCTGTATTACAAAGTGATGGTTTGCATTGTAAAAATGATCAGAATCCTAGGGCATGTTTGTTTGTTTCTTTGTTTCTTAAATTATTATTATTTATTCAACATGAAATCAGAAGTTAGATGAATAGTGCAGTTACAGCATCTCCTTGTCATGAGTTAATGTATTAGTTATATCATTGAAATAGCTTTCTGAACTGTAAAGATTTTTAAGACAGATATTCAACCGTTGATCTTAGTGAGCTTTTTTGTATCCATTTAACTGTATAATATTATCCTTTATAAATTTTCCAGTTGGATGGATGGTCTACCTACCTCTGTATTGCCAGGACTGAGCTTCAGGTTATTGACCCTCATCCAGTCCTTCACTGAGCTCAGGCACTGGTTTATAATGGCCACTGCCTCACCTTGATTTGATGAAGAAGAGGTAGAACTGAGTGCCATCTGATGGCACTTCAGCCCATGATAACCTCTTGTCTGTTATCATCTAAGATAAAGATCTGACTACACAAGCAGAGAGCATTTTTGCTTAAAATGTTTATTCCAAACCTTTTTCTTGAACAGTTTGATCTTAATTCCTTTTGCTCACCTTGTTTTCTTATATATCATTTCTGTCAAACACATAAGTAACAAAGAAGCAAACCTACATAGTTTTGAAGTTTTTTGGTTGTCCAAATGAAGCTATTGTCCAGTTGTACATCTTGTTTTCCGCTCAAGGAACAATATGGCGCGCGCGCGCGCGCTCTCTCTTTCTCTCTCTCTCTCTCTCTCTCTCTCTCTCTCTCTCTCTCTCTCTGTGTGTGTGTGTGTGTGTGTGCGCTGCTTCCACAAAGGTATCAAAATGGTGACCATAAAAGGAAGTCTTATTTTGTGAGGAATGTTAGTATTTCAGTCTCAGTTGTTTAAAATCTTTTTATCTTCTGTTAGGTTTTACTGTGGCTTTTTTGTTTTATAATATAGCTTTAAACATTTATAGTGCATTTTATGGTTGTAATTGTTGTGAACCGCCCAGAGAGCTTTGGATGCTGGGTGTTTTAGAAGTGTAATAAATAAATAATACCAACAATAAATGTAAAAATAAAAACAGCACAATGCAAATTAATCAGCAGTAAAACCACACCCTGCAGCACAGACTGTAGCTGGTCAGGTCTCAGTTCAGGTAGAACCTGTCTAAAGAGATAAATTTTACAATCTCTAAATGTCAGAATCATGCCATGCCAATTCATAAAGGGTTACGGAGGAGCACTAAATGTTCTACTGCAAGTGTTTCTGAGGTGAACCTTAGAATTTGTGGTATCTTAGAAGTACACTGGAAAGTTCTACAAAACACTAAAGATCTTCTGTGACATTTTGATCATCTCTAATAAAGGTATTGACCTAATAAAGATGGGCTCTACTAATATTAATTGTCTTACACTACTGAATAATATTAACTACATAATTGCATTTAGAGGTATTTTAAATATTCCCTAACATTTCAAATGAATATAATCACTTAAATTAATGAAGTACAGTATATATACTTTAATGGAATATTGCTAGTATACTATATTGTTTCTCAAATGTTTCTCAACAATTGTTTACAATTTTATCTCTCTATTGTAGATCTGGTGCTTGGGTAATGAAACAAAATTTCATATTAACAAGACTGTAGATGCAGCCATTCGCTCTGTCGTGATTGGAGGCCTCTATCCAGGTATTCAGTACAGAGTAGAAGTTGCAGCCAGTACAAGTGCAGGTGTAGGAGTGAAAAGTGAACCTCAACCCATAGTAATTGGTATGTAAATATCTATATTTTTGTTTCATGTTATTAACACAATATAACTCATTTCATAAATTACAGTTGAAAATATAAAACATAGCTGTTGTTGAAGTACTCCTCTTTTTTGAAAAAATAAGATGAAAACCAGTGAAATGGCTCTTGTTTTCCTGAAATATATTGAAAACATAGGTTAGCTTATTAAATTAATGTTGAATGTTGGATCTGTCACTTAATCTGTTCGATAAATAAAGCTTTATCATCAACCTGTTAAGATTGCTAGATTATTTACATGTTTATGTGGCTGGTGCCCAAGGGCATGATTAATGTTTGTTTCCTGCACTTTTCTTGTTTAGGATTTATCAAATATTCTCTGTAAATAGTCTAGTCTATCCTGTGCCAAAGAAGGCTTGAGTCAAGAGAGAAAAGCTAGTAATCTCATGTGCTTCCTTGGAAATGCCTGCTTCATATTAGTAGATTCTATGCAGAATTAATTTGATGACCAGACGCAAACCTGAAACCTTGCCTTTCTGAGAAATTTCTCAAAGATAGCAGTGGAAAAAGTTATTCCTAAAACCTGGGAGAATAACTACTAGTTAAAACAGGGCTAGATGTACAAGTGGCTTCTTATGTTCTTAACAGGGAAAGTAATAAATCATACTGTTGAAGAGGCTCTGTTCAGGACAGAATGGGCATTAAAATTATCTGGAACTGAAGTAAGAAAGACAGAGAACCTACTAAATTGTTTCCTCACAAGCTTTTCTTACTTCACTTAATTGTGCATAGGCTCCATCGTTGGTATAATATATGAGAAACAGCTGTAAACTTTCATAGTAATAGGTGCAATCGAATCTGATGTGTCTAATTAATTTTTGGTGCAGCAAATTAGTTTTGTTCTTCATTACTTTCCAATGGGAGGAAGATATTATATTTCATTACATTTTTGTCTGCAGAAACAATGGAGCGTTACAGGTCGCACACATCCCTCGTCTGTATTCTAATTAGCTGAACTGACAGCATTGTTATAGAAACACCTGCAGTATATGAAGCAATGCACTGATACTTTTCCTGACACGTGCACACGTACATAAGAATATATAACTTCTAATTAAATATAACATAAAGAAAGGCTAAATTAATGCATTTTTTTCAAATCCTAACACTTACATTAATTCTGTTGAACATCAATGGGAAATGAACATCCATATTCATTTATGTTCAGCTGCTGAAATCAGGAAACATATGTTATTCTGACATTTAAATGAATTATTACTTTTGCACATGTAATTGCAAGGCACTGAAGATTAGTACAAGCTGCCAGGCTGATAACTAAACGTACACTGACCTAATTTGAAAACCAGCATACTCAAGGAAGAACCTGTAGGATGCTTTGGAGTCCTCTGAAAACCCCCTCAAAGGTGTTTTCTGTTTTACAGTTAAATGAAAAGGAATTCTTAATCCATAGGAACTGCAGTTGGCTCAGTTTTAAGATGTGCTGCAGACAGGAAATAAGTTGCCATCTCATCATCAAGTGAGCGTGGATATAGGCTAAAGGAATGGAAAAGAATGATGAAAAAGAATGCTAATAGTACTTAGAGCCCCAGTCACTATTCAGTAGGCTGTCAGGAGAAACCTAATGCGTTCTGCAATGTGGACACTACAAATTATAGTGACTTCTTTGTTCTAGCTATGTGCAATTCCCTCTGGGTTTCAATAATTTCCTTTTCTGTCACATACCATAAGCAGTAAGCATCAGTGTATCCACTGAAAAGCTTCAGAACTGGTCCATGGATTTTCACCAACATTTGAAAGCCTATGGCACCCAGGCAACACTAAAGTTGTTTAATTTAGCACACCTCATTTATCCTGGAATTCCTATTCAGCTGTCTTGCTCTTGCCTCCGAGCTGCATACAATGCCCTGCTTTTTTGTGACATCACAGTAGTTAAGCCAATGCCAAACTTGAAGTTAGTCTGCCAAGGCCTGTCAAGGTTAACATTTCAGAACAAATCAATGGCATTGTTCAGGAAGTATATGCACTGAATGGATTCAGGCTATTACATTAGGTTATATCCAGTTTTGGCCATCTGTTGATGAAATGAAACTGGCTGACAGAATAGATTCCTCTCCCCTCCACCCCAGCAGCACCCAAACCTGTACTGGAGATTCTTCAATGTAGAAGTCCCATTTGTGCTGTCACAGCTATTACTTTAAAAGTAGTGGTTCCACCTTGCTAAGAAGGTTGGGCAAAGGAAGCTACAATTAAAATTCTGAGCTCTAATGGAGCATTTATGATTACCATAATATCTGGTATAAAATTGTATGAATTAAAAACTGAATTAGAGAGCAGAAAACTAATTTTCATTTGCTTGGCTAATCAAAGGGGAAGAATGATAGAGAGCAGTGATGTATATTTGTTAAGGGCAATCCCAGTTACCAACAGTAATTAAACACTTTGGCCTGAAACCAATATTTAGTGCAAGCATTAGCCAGATTGTTCAATAGCTTTGTGGTCACAAACCAGTGAGTGTATTCCCAAGAAATTTATTAAAAGTTATAATAAAGTACTTCTACTCCATAGCAGCACAGTGATACATCACAGTCTTACTTTCTTTTGATGGACTTTTATTTGGCCTACCATTTTTCAGTTGAACCCCTTTTCCAGGGTCCTTAGAAATTAAATTTCTGAATGAGGATCCTAAATGCACATTCATGAATGCTAACAAAGTAATCATACCAGACAGAATCAGTATTTTATCCAAAGCATTTCTGGACTTGTATTTTTGCCTCATTCCCTGCTACCAATATCAAAATTTCAGAGTTGGGGAGACAAGGATCATGAGAATATCCAGGATGACTGGCTTATGATCTCTGTCTCTGACTTCAAAGGAAATGATCCAACAACTTTCTGGGGGCCATAGGATTGTAACTGTGCTGTATAGCCTGCCTTTTTATATATTACAACTGCTATGGTTTTTTGGTAACATATTGTGTAGCAATTTACTTGTATATCTTTAACCAAGTGTCTTCCTGACTTTTAAACTGGTAGATCCTGGGCACTTGCTGAATTAATAAATATTGCATATAGAGCCAAAGTGGAACCTTTGAGCGAAGTGTTTAGTGGGAATTGGGCAGACAGGGACCATGGGAGAGGTGCCTTTCTAGAACTGTGATACTTTCTTTGAAAATGGGAATTTTACAAGTTGTCCTATTTTCTTTTGCAAAACCTGGGAGCGTATGCCATCATGGAATCTAAATATACCATTACAGTGCTGCAATGGGAACATTTTAAGTAATAGAAAATAAAAGTTTATGCCTAGCAAATACTTAAATTTGGATAGTTCCTTAGCTGCTGTAGCACACACCCTTTCTTGCACCATGCAGGTATGATTCATTTACATTGGTTGTGTGCAACTTCAACTTGAGATGTAGTATAAGAATTAGTCAATATGGTCACTACCTTTGTTAGACTCACATACACTTAGCATGTCTTAAAATCTAATAAAATACAGTGGATGCAAATGTTTCTATGATCTGATAAGCATCTTTCTCTGCCCTGGCAATGAATTCATAGTACTGGGAAATTACACATTTAGCCTTTAGTCATTTGCAAACAGGTTAACAAATGACCTTAGTTTTATTTACCTGAGGCTTGAACAAATGTGCTGACATAGCATTGGCTTCATTCCAAAAAGTGAACAAAGACTGCAATCATTCTGGAAAAAAAACATGTTTTTGAAGGCAAGGCAAACTATATAATTTTTTTAACCTTTTGTACTGTAGTCAGTGCTATCACACATATTCTACATCTGTATTTCAGGAACAGAGATTTCTTTAAGCAAACATTTGCTGCCTAAAATAACAGTAGTATAACACTGAATTACCTGAGGAATTATAGTATCTAATCGCTTTGCAACTATATTTCAATAAATTGTGGGGGCATAATTCATTCTACATCAAAGACTGTAAATTCTGTCATTTTTCAAAAGCTATCTAATCAGAGCTAACTTGCTTCAAAGTGCAGAACTAATTTGATGGAGAAAGAGCTTATTTTGGGGATTAGACTTTTTAATGACTACAGAATTGTTTGTATTCAGTGACAAAACCTAGAAAAGAGCTTTTTTTATGTAGGGAGCCATTCATCTGCCAGTCTGATGTCCCTACTTTTTGCCATTTACTTGCTAGGGACTGTTTTGGCATTTGGTATATGTCCAGTAACTCCACTAATGGGAGGAAATGAACCATCAAGGGAAAAAAATCAGTGATTTCAAAAACAAGATCAGTCAACATATACATTCTACTTCATATTATCTTTGTAGGTATTAGGGGATCCATAAGCATTATAAGATTAATTTGCACAGTGGAACCATAATTTCTTACAAAGCTGCTTTTGTCTCCAAATGTGAGATGCACATATTTTTTCCTATTTTTTTGTCTGCAGCCAAAGGAACTGGATATCTATTGAATATAATGGAAACAGGAATGTGGCAATAGTGTGGTGTTGCACAACCATTTCACTCTATGGGCCACATTGGATTTGCTTTAGGGTTGTAGGCCACACACTCATACACACATATCTCGGCACTCCTGACTGTAGCAATGACTGTTTCCTCACTACTACTAGTAGTGATAAAGAAAACAAACAAGCAAAGAACAAAGCACAATCTATATAACATCTCTGAGAAAGAGTGGAAAATATGTGGTGGGAAGGTAGTAAGAAGAGATCTTGGGTCTTTGAGAGGCTTCCCTGGGGAGCTGCATCTGGTTCTGGGGCCATACACTGTGAACCCCTGAAACAATGTATTCAAATGGAGGGTTCTTTAAAAAATATTGAATCCTAACTTGAATTGGTCCTCATGCAACAGGGCCTTCCTGCACCCACTTCTCCCTGCCAGCTTCTGTGCCCTTTAAAAATGTGTTCCTGAGGGTTGAGGGAGCTTTTCCATACTGTGGAATGTGGTTTGGGTATGTCAGAGGGGTGGGTGCAGAAAGAGGAAATTGGGGTATAGGAAGTGTAACCCGTTACACAAGGAGACTCTTTCATAAGTGTTCCAGTTCTATAATAAATGCGGTACAATCTTGCCATTAAAAAGTACTTATGGAATATAAGGGGAGCTGCATATATATGCTACCTTTCTTCCACTTAAAAGGAAGTTATAGAGTCTATTCAATTTTTAACTTGAAAATAATTTCCTTTTATTTATCAATGAAGTTTTACCATGTTTTCACTAGAATTTGTTATGGCTTCCAAGGACCTATTAACTTTTTTTTTCATAAGTGGACAATTTCTGATTAGTTAGAATTGTCATCCTCTTGTCTTTAAGTATCCTCAATGCTCTTTTTTAATAAAACAGGAAGTCGTAATGAAGTTGTCATCACCGAAAACAACAATAGCATAACAGAGCAAATAACAGATGTTGTTAAGCAACCTGCCTTTATAGCTGGAATTGGTGGTGCTTGCTGGGTAATACTGATGGGTTTCAGTATCTGGCTGTACTGGCGCAGAAAGAAGAGGAAAGGCCTCAGCAATTATGCAGGTAAAAACAAACTTTCTAAATATTTATTTATCAAGGACATTGTTAGTTCATAAAATGAGGGTCAAATGGATGACCATTCTGTGCTTGCTTGGTATGCTGCCAAAGACCAGGGATATGAATAGCTTTGAGTGCATTGCTCTGCACCATATTTCATCATTCCTACAAGAAAATTGTTTAACAGTCTCATAACAAGTACATCTGATATAATGCACCAAGAAATTTAGATGCAGTTTTCCATTTTGGTTCTGGTGTAGAAGGAAGTCTAAATATTTTCAGATCCAGTATTACAGAGGCCCATGAATCCGGCAAAATGTTGGCAAAAATGAACAGCAAGTAAATTGACAATTATAGTGCAAACTAAGTCTTATACTATGTTCTGTCTGAAGCAATGATTTCTCAGGTATTCATGACTAACTACTTCCAATATCTATGACTGGAAATTAAAATAGTAATAAATACCACTTTAGAACATGAATGAAAAACAATATATAAAATGTATATATTTGTCCTACACTAACCCAGCTTTGTGTTTATTTTGCAGTAGAATTTGCCCAAATACCTTTGTCACTTTGTTTGATCACACTGGACATGATCAATAAGCCTATTTGTGAACCAAACATCTTATTTTCTTGTTTGAAATGCAATAGGCACATAGAGACTTCCCAGATGCATGACTTATGCATTTTCATGCTCGTTAAAGAAATGGGCATGCAAAGGCATGAACTTTGGGAATTCTTAATCTTCTATTTTTTACTTAGTTCTATTATTCTGGACCAGATAAAGTTTTGAAATTGACTTAACTGCAAAGTTCTTAGATGCTAAATATAATGCATTGCCAACTAGAAGCCAACACATGAAAAAGTTTTAGCTTAAAACAAAAACAGAAACCCTACTCAGTATTTGTGCTCAGTCTGGTGTAAACCACCATGCAGTTCCCATGACAGTTGAATTAGAAAACCTTTATTCTGTAGAATTCAATCATTCATTTTGGTATGGTAATATTTCACAGAAAGAAAATATTTCTAGTGATTTATATACAACAATGTATGTACATTGTACTCTTGGCAATTCAAGCCAAATTACTTTTGGTTGTATATGCCAGGGAAATCTGATTCTAAAATCCTCCTGATTTCTTATTAATTATTTCTTGATATTATCCTACTGCTTTACTATTAATTCAGTAAGCCTGAATTACCCTGGTAGTAAAGTTATAATGTTCTTAGATGGTGCTGTTTGCACATGTTTTTCTTTGTTTCATTTTAATTTTTATTATCTCATTTTAAATAGAACACCAGGTTTTGCTTATTTTACTATTCTTAAGCAAATCATTGAGTTCTGTTTAGAAGTTAGATATATCAAGATCACTGACACCAAAAGTGCAATGTTTTGTCAGATCCTTCATAGTTAGAAAACTATTGAGACATTGGGGGTTCAGTAGGTGCACTCCTTTATGTTAGACTTTCATAAACATCAGATGTGCTAAAAACATGACATAGCAATTTGTATCGCTAATGAAACATTTCATATACTGAATTGTCCAGCTTCTGTGTTATGTAAATCGGCATGTTTCTGTGAATAGTCTTGTATCATCCAACAATCTGTAATTTTACCATATATGTAAATATATGGGCAAGAGAAATTTCTCTTAAATGAGGTGAAAATTGTGTTGCTACCTGAGAATCATATGCTATTATTGGTCAGCAACTAAAGCTGTGTAAGATTTGAGTTAACAGGATCGTTGGGTTCCCTCCCTGATACTTATGTATATGGTATTTGCATTTATGACATTTGAAGTTGTATGGCTAACTGTTGTATCACTACACAGAGTTGTTCATTAATTGTTAATGTTTCTTTGCTTGATGATGAAAACTCATAAGGCATCACATTTCCAAGCTGATCATAACATCTTAGAGACAGCTGCATGTCCACATTACTGATTACTATTTGATATAATTGACAAAAATATTATTCACCTCTTTTCATTCCTTAATTTCTCATGGGCTGCTGGCTGATTAATGCTTAAAGCTGAATTGCTACATGCACTTGCTCTTAAAGTACATACAGAAGTCATTCTGAAGGACACTCATGCCCTTTACTTAGGACTTCATAACAGGGTCTATAACTCATAATGTATCTGCTTCTCTTGTTTTGCAGTTCAGTCGTTCACCTTCACCCCTGCAGGTACTGTCCATTAGTCTGTGTCTTAACCCAACAAGATACAAATGCAGCATATAGTGGTTGAACCCTTTCTAGTCATTCAGCTCATGCAAAGACTTAAAACCCAATTGCAAGAAGAAGCACTCTGCTCATCAATTACACTGATGTGACATTGACTGTACCAGTGATTCCAGCAGAAATCTACCACAGCTGATATGCCTTTCCTTATAATTGTGCCCAATTCTTACTCTTTCAGATTTTCTCCTTTGCATTGTTTGAATGGTAATTTATAGGGCTTTGAGTGAAATAATATAACTAGCCACAGGAGATTTTAAAAAGGACCTCCAAGGATCTACATGCTTAACTTGAAGACCTGTGCAGAATTTTTCCTAGTTTCTTGATCTTTGTAGACTTTTTCTCAACTTTAATATTTGCCAAACATAGTTCTTAAATTTATCCATGCCCATATGTTCTGTACCACAAGTGGAGCTATTAACTGATAAGTATACAACCCATTCTACTACATGAATCTCTGCAGTTTTCATGCAACCCTTTAATAATTGTCAAGCCAGACCTTAAAACGGTAAATCCTTGTTACTATTGGTGCATTATTATAGTAAATACGGCTAAAATTGTGAGAACATTAGTTGAAATAACAGATTGTAACGGGCCCACTCAATGTAAATGTGGATGAGAAAAATAATGAGTGTTAAGTAAACAACCACAACTTAGGTCAATTATTATCATTAGTCTTATAAATAATCCCTCAGGGCCAAATGCAGCCTCCTAATATTACAATCCAGACCTCAGGGGTTCCCCTTACCTCTCCCTGATTTTATTCCCATTTGCCCAGCTAATTTTTTTCCAATGTTTCCCAGCCTTTGCACAGATTTTTCCTATACTAAAGAGTCAATATTCCTCTCCTGAGGATTACTTACTAGCAATAAAAGATTAAAACTAAACTATGCTGGTATTTTTATGCTTTTGCCTAGTCTGTCTTTGGTGCTATTCACTGTTGAAATGTGCCTCTCAATAGCTTCTTTGGAATTCAAATTACCCCTTAGGCTTAAAGGGATTTCCCACATTAAGGCATATATTACTCAGGACAAGTCTATCTTCTCAGGTCCATATGTTGCAGGCAGGCACACCAGCTTAGCATGTGTAGCAGATACACCAATGAGTGACTAGTGCTACACCTGGCCACAGCTGTTAGAAGTTATCCAGGTGTACAGCTGAGTTCACTGAATGTCTGATTGATTTTGATAGGGTAGTACTCCCTCTGAGCAATCTGAAACTGTCTTGTCTGGATTAAGCCTCCATTTGCTATCCAACCCATTCTTAGTCTGATCACCAATTCAGAATCTTAACAGCTTCTTTACTGTTAGATGAAAAGAAGATATAACAATTCATCATCATCATCATCAATAATTAACTCCTGTTCCCCAGAATCTCTCCCTGGTAGATGTTAAACCACAGGATCTATCATTTTGGGTCACCCTAAGCTGATAGCAAAGATACCTAACAGAAAAAATGCTATCTGGAATCATTCTTCAAAAGGATCAAAACCACCACAAAATAGTACCTCCTAATTCTGTGTCTGTCTGGAAATCCAAAAGAATAGCATGAAATACTGCTCAGAGAGCTAGAGGAATTCATAGGATTGCAATGTAGCTTGTACCATCAGGGAGAGGAGAGGAAAGAACCATTTTCCCTCATTGCTATTACTTAGTTCATGTAGTTCTACTAAACAGCTTTTTAGCCTCTGGGATTGTCTAGTAGTAGTGGAAATAATATTATGGCACTCATGTGTAAGGTAAATAACAAGACTCCAGGAAATGTTATTCCAGCGTTAGAATATCTACCCTTAAATTACCTAGGTACAGAAAGCAACAAGATAAACAATTATCTAGAATATATTTGTAGAGAGGAGGAAAAGATCAGATCAATTTGAACAAAAGCAAAATTTTAAGCAGAGTTAAAAACATCCAGCTAAGCTTCCACTTCATTAGCTAAACTAATACATCCAGCCAACTTCTCTAGTCTGGATCTACTGTAGGCCTCCACTCTGCTTTCTTTCTGCAGTGCTCCAAAGAGCAAGAAACTCAAAATAACCCACTTCTCTTATAGAGATTCTACTCTGTACCACTGTTGTAACCTGCTTCCGCTTCCCTTTCACCTTGTTGCTTGACAAGTAGATAACAAATGTTCCAAGGGTTGGTAGAAAATAGATCTCCATATTTTTGGATTTCAGATTTCAAATCCAAGACATCTGGAGATCTACCTTTTGCCTATTCCTGAAGTAGGCGGCTTTATATAGTGCTTCATTCTTATCACTGCTATTGCTTGGTCCAAAGTAAGAGGCAGGTGAACAAGAAGCTTGCAGTTGTGAAGAGGAGGAAGAACTCCATTGACTTCTTGTCAGTGGGACCCTTTCTGATCCCTTAGCAATGCCCAACCATGCCTACCTTTGATACCAGTCCTGGCAGTCTAACATTAGTTCTGGGTCTATCAAATTCTCTGTATTCCTTATTCCATACCTTAATCTCATCTACTCCACCAATTCCTCCCTCGCCCCTAAACACAGCGATTTCATTACTCCTTTCAATTTTTTAGCCAATATACTCTTCCTTAATTTCTGCTTCTTTATTGCCTGCTTTCTTGGGCAAAGCCTTGGGCTTCCTATGAATTCATTTTTTTCTCTTAAGTGCTGGATTTGTACCTTTAACTTCCCTTGGCTGAACAGCTTCTACAATAAAAGAAACCAATTTATAACTATGATAACCTAATTCAAAATGGCTGAATGCTTTATTCCTTCATAGGAATATCCTTCCATTTGCTATTCCCAGCATTCAATACATATTTTTTCCAGTTTAATAACAGAATTGACAAGAATCTGATGATAAAGTTTCATGCTGTCAATACCTTTTATGCTGGAATATAGTTACTTCAGCACTGGGATGATTGATATAAACTGTCAAGCAAAATAAATTGTTAGAAAATATCAGTGACACACTTGGAAACATTAAACTTGCTCACCTACATGCACAGTCATGAATAAGTTGCTCTGTAGCTGCCATGAAAGTATAAACACACTCTTTAAAAAATTTATTGAGAAAACTCACAAGGCAACTTGTGACACATGTACTACCAGCTTTCATCCCACCTCTCTTGCATATATGTCCACAATGATACAATTTATCAGTCAAAATTCAAACATTTATCTACGAACCACAGATTAAATTCTTGTTTTTGTCTTAAAGCAGGTTCATATGAAAAGAGTGCTTCTTCTAACTGCCATTGGTCACATCTTATTTGCTGTGTGGAAATGTCATACCCAAATCTTGCCCTTATGTCTGGTTTACATTTTTATCAAATTGTCTTTCCCAGTATTAGTTTGCCTTGTCTGTTCCATTCCAAATTTAAGTCTTTAGTTATCCCTTCAACCCATGACTATTTTACTAGTCTTAACATTCAGCTAATTTAGAAGATGCTTTTACGTTTTGTACCCAGGATGCTCTTCTCAGTCCCTTTGGGAGCCCTATGCCTCTCTCTCTCTCTCTTCCATCTGCCTTTTTTTCCTCATCTGACTTCAATAACTCTCCCCTTTTCAAATGCCTCTTTTGCAAAACACAGCAGGAGGCCACAACTATCTGCTGAAACAGGCTGCAACAATCTTGACATTGGTTCTTGCGATTCCCCATAACAAGAAAGGGAAACACAGGACTGCCAAAGATTTTTGGCATGGTTCTTTCTGAAAGTGAAGGGTGTTCACAGTCTGGAAATATATTTGGTACATTACAGTATAAAATCTCGTTGCATAGTATTGCACACTTGCAAATCAGCAAGGTACAGCAAAATGCTCTACTTTTTCAGATCTAGAATTTCAATTAAGTTCATTAATACTCACTGAAATCTAATGCAATTTAAAAGTCTAAAATGAATAACTATGGAGTTCATTCAGACCTTCTTAAAGAAATAAAGTGAAGTTTCCAAGTGTATCAAAGTTTTATTTCCATGCAGTGAGGCTCAAAAGTCAATCTTGACTTGGAATGTGCTGCTGTGGAGAATGTTGTACTGGGAAAACTGGATATTACTCTAGATGGACTTATGAACATCATGGACTAAAGTTACATTCTTAGTCCAATATGATGTTCTCATTTGTATATTCAGTTGGGGAGGGTGGGTACTAAACTACTATTAAAAGGTAAAAGGTTTCCCCATGACATTAAAATTCAGTCATGTCTGACTCTAGGGGGCGGTGTTCATCTCTGTTTCCTAGCCAAGGGAGCCAGCGTTTGTCCGCAGATGGTTTCCATGGTCATGTGGCCAGCATGACTAAACACCAAGGTGTGCGGAACGCTGTTACCTTCCCACCGAAGTGGTACCTTTTTATCTATTTGTATTTGCATGCTTTTGAACTGCAAGGTTGGCAGGAGCTGGGACAGAGCAACAGGAGCTCACCCCGTTGTGCACATTCGAACTGGCGACCTTTCAATCAACCAGTCCAGCAGAACAGCAGTTTAAACCACTGCGCCACCCGCAGCCCTATAAATTACTATTACAATTCCTTTTATAATGTCAACCAAGCACTTTGCAGGAGTACCCAATTGTGCAGAAGCTCAGTTCATAATGTTCTTTCTTCCTCTACTTTTTTAACAGTTCAATATCACAGGCACTCATGCCCTGTTCAAGCCATGAACAAGAGGGCCTTTCTCACATCAGAGGTAGGGAGATGGGATGAAGGAATGCTGATCATAATTCTCTCCGCTTTGTAATTACTGAAGCAGAGTCAACTATTACTTTATTTTATGAATTTCTACTTCACCTTTGCATTAGTAGAAACCATGGGGCAGCTTACAATTACTTAATAATGAAATGCTCATTAAAGAGAAATGATACAAAAGCATCAGGTGCATATGGTGCAGAAAGGAAACAGGAAGAGAGATGTAAGACATAGAAAACACAATTAAATACGATAGAAAGAATATAGTATGTTCAGAACTGGTTAAAGGGTGGACAAACTC